AGGAGGTGGATGGGGGCGCCAAGGCAGTGAAGCGCAAATGAATGAGTGCTGTATTTGTGCTCCTCAGCCCGCCCTCCCTCTCTCCTCTCGCCCTCCCTCTCCTCCTTTTCCCCCAGGTGATAAGCCGCATGCTGCAGCGGTACGGCGTGAGGGTGGAGGAGGTGGATGGGGGCGCCAAGGCAGTGAAGCGAGTGCAGGAAATGCGCGATGGTGCTGCCTTGCCGCTTGATTGTGTTTTCATGGATATTCAGGTGTGTTTCTAGTGCCAACCCAGTATGTTAAGTTGTCCCTCTACCCCTTTATGCGCCTCACTCGCACGCGCACACATACACACACACGCACGCGCACACGCGCGCACACATACACACACACGCACGTGCACACGCGCGCGCTCGTGCGCGGTTAATCCTCAATACCAATCTCTCTCCTTTCCTTTTCCCCTTCGCGGACCTCTCCATGCTTTTCCACCGCCAGATGCCGGGAATGGACGGCTACGAAGCAGTCTCCCGCATCCGCAGCATGGAGCAGGAAACAACACCAGCCACAGCAGCTTCCCCATCCTCTTCTTCAACCCCTCCTGCAAACCCATCACCCTCCACATTAAAAGCACTCTTACCCAAAAGCCCATCAGATACCAAGAGCCCACCAGCCACTAGACACCCGTTAGCATCAGGCTCCCCTCAAAGCACACCAGCAGAGGCGGCAGCAGAAGCACCAGTGGTGGCAGGAGCACCAGTGGTGGCAGGAGCAGCGAGGGCAGGGAAAGGGCGGGTGCTGGTGATAGCGCTGACTGCGGATGTGGGGGCGGGTACGAAGGAGCGGTGTGTGAAGGCGGGCCTGGACGGGTACATGACAAAACCCATTGAGGAGCAGCAGCTGTTGCGCGTGGTGCTCCCCTTCTTTTAGGCGCCTAAAAATCCTCAAAATGCGCCTCAAAAAGCGGATTTGGGTGCGGGTACGAAGGAATGGTGTGCCAAGGCTGGGATGGATGGGTACATGACGAAACCCATTGAGGAGCAGCAGCTGTCGCGAGTGGTGCTCCCGTTCTTCGCTGCACTGGGGGGTAACATTTGAGTTGACTCAAACGTCACCTTGCCCACATGGGAGCGGGTTAGCGGGGCGGGAGCGGTGTGCGAAGGATGGGATGGATGGATACATGACGAAACCCATCGAGGAGCAGAAACTGTCACGGGTGGTGCCCCGGTTCCTCGCTCCTCTGGCAGGTAACCTTTGCGTCGACTCAAGGGGCCCATTGAGGAGCAGCAGCAGTCGCACATGGTGCTCCGATACTTTGCTGCACTGGCGGGTAACCCGTCGTGCCGGCCTAATTATATTTAGCGCATGCGTGCTGCTGCGCATAGTGTATAGTGTAGCGTGCGAGGAACCTGCTCCTGGCTAGAGAGCAGGGGAGGAACTTTTATGAAAGAATGGAGCGAACAGTGCGTGGTTCAAACAGAACAGAAGCTAGGAGCCCTTAGACTACTATACATGAAGTGGTTCTTGGGATAGGATCCGAAGATTGTTTTACCGTATAAGCTCAGTTGTCCTACAGTGAGTTTAGTTATAGTGCGCGCTGGTAGGTACTCAATCTTCTGCTGTTATCCCCCTTACAACACGTATTAATGCATGCATACGGTAGGCTATGCATTATATGTGGCAATTTTGGTCAGTATTTTATGCTTATGTGCTCAATCTAACGTTTGACAAATGATTTTGCACTTTTAGGCTAGTATATCTCAACGGGACGAAGCAGGCGAGGAAGCGACAAAAACGAAACAGCAAGACGACAAACTGCCCGGGGCAAAAAAAACTAAACCCCAGATGGATGGCATGCCATTCGGGAGCCTCAACCCTAAAATTTTAGGGTTGAGGCTCCCGAATGGCATGCCGGTCGCATTGCGGTTTAGTTTTTTTCTGCTCGGGTCAGGGTGACGCTCCAGAAAGCGTCACCCCCGAGCGTCACCCCTGGCAAAACGGAGCGTCACCCCCGTTTCCGTTGAGAGATACAGGGGGTGACGCTCCGTTTTGCCAGGGGTGACGCTCGGGGGTGACGCTTTCGGGAGCGTCACCCTGACCCAGGCAGAAAAAAACTAAACCCCAATGCGACCGGCATGCCATTCGGGAGCCTAAACCCTAAAATTTTAGGGTTGAGGCTCCCGAATGGCATGCCATCCATCTGGGGTTTAGTTTTTTTGCCCCGGGCAGTTTGTCGTCTTGCTGTTTCGTTTTTGTCGCTTCCTCGCCTGCTACGTCCCGTTGAGATATACTAGCCTAAAATAATATGTAATGCTGTTTAGAGCTAGCGGGAAGAGTCACTCAATTGTTTTTGCCAAACTATATTATCGGATTCCGGGTAAGTCTCCCTTGTCGTTGAATTGATACGAGTGGCATGAGTTGTCGTCTTGATTCCAGCTCGGATCATAATATCTGATGAAAAGGTCCAGAATCCAATCAAAAGCGGTTCTGACTGCGTCAAGGCTCGTGTCTTTACAGGATACTTTTTGTCCTTCCACACGCTTGATGAGCTGGATTTTGCCTTTTCTCATTGCTGCACAGTGCTTTAGCAACTTCCTCCTTCCTTTCTGCTGTTTGACTGTTGATCTCCACGCGTACGATCAAATATCCCGGATTTGCTGGACAAACACCTTCCACTTGTTCCTCGTCAGCTTCCTTCCGAAATGGGGAGGAAATGGGTGGAGTGCACTGTGTGGCACTTGCTCCTCGTCAGCGCACGCGAAGTGGTGAGGTGATGCGGCCCGATTCTCTCGAAACGAAAGACGGGTGACGCAGGACATGTCAGAGGAATATGGGGCAGGGGGGAAAGTGTACACGTAAAATACACCTAGCCCGCGCCAAATTCACTAGGGCCATTTTCAACCCCCTGTGTAATTATTTTTGATTTACCCGATATTTAAGAGCTGTTTCGAATGCTTTCGTTTTAAAGACGGTACGTTTCAGACATCTCTGAAGAGTTAGAGGGGATGAAAAACGGGTCACAATAATTATAGTCGAGTCGCCGTGGTAAGAGTGCGGTTTCATTTTTATATCTCGACACTTGGCCGAGTGGTTTGTAGCCTTCAAATTCTGAGAGTTTACTGGTAAAAGCCAAAATCGGGTTCAGGGTGCTTGCCGAAACAAGTTGCAGGGCGTGAAAATAGCGCGGGCTAGGTGTATCAATAAGCTGGAACGCTACCCCTAGGGCGAGTTACACACGGTTGAAAGCGCTGGAGTGATACTACAGATGTTTCGGCTTATAGTCCGACGGGTTGAGCCGAAGCGCGTGGACTGTATGCCGAAATTTTCAAACCCCAGGCAAAACGCGATATTTATAGTCCCGTTCAGACAATTTACATGAATAGTGGTTTGTTTGCTAAAATGTTTGGTTTTTGGTCTTTTTCTTAAATTTGGACCGCGCTGGCTTCAACTTCTTGTCACACGCTTCCACGCGCTGATCAATTTCGCATGACCAACGGGAAAGAAAAAAACAAAATAATTATGGTTTGGGGGTCGATTAGAAGGTAAAAACTTCTGTTTTACCCTGTAAACGAGATAAACGTGATGTCATCGTCGAGCGCGCTGGAGACCGCGCAACAGGATTGAGAAGTGATCACGGTCAAGAAAAACAATTACTTAGAATTTGGAGGTTAAATGTCGAATCGATGATCCCTTATCTATAATTTTCTCCGGATGTTGGGATGGTTCAATTTGGAGCCTCTGATTGGCTGCGGAGCTGATTCGTGCAATGATTCGGTCAAGCCTCAAAATTTCCCACCAAAGATGGGACTATAGGGGTCGGGACAACCCTAGGCAATATCGGAAAATTCTACTCAAGATGGAAAATGGACTCATCTAGCAATGGCCTTTAACCCGGAACACGTGTACAAAAACGTATTACAGTAACCACTTTCATTGAACAGAAAGTCAACCATGCGTTGTGACCCGTACAAGACCTAACGATGATGAGTTCCTTTCGTTCTTGGGGGATTGGGAAGAGCGGGTGTCAATGTTTACGAGGGCTGGCGTCGTGGCGGAATAAACAGTTTCTGCGGACTTGTGTGTGTGTGAGAATTCACACAGTCGGGCATCGTCCATCCAGCCAAGTCCAGTCCAGAAAGATCTGCCCAAGTTTGTCAATCTTGCCGCTGGTGTCAGATGTCCGTCATCGTGGTCCAAGCGCGTGTATCACCCAATTCGGTCTGTTTTGATATTGCTGTTGGGCCACTCTCTGAGCAACACATCAGCAGCTTGATGATTGGCCAACGCTTTCGAGAAGAGGTTCTTGTTTCGTAATGATCCACCTACGGGCAGCTGTGTTTGAATTCCTGCTCGTACAGAACTCGACAGTTTGTGCATGAGCAGCATTGCCCTGCCAAGTAGCTGTGCCCAATCACCACAACCTCACCCCAAACCAGCAAGCTGGGACACCTCAGCAGCAACTTTCCCTTCCCAACCATCACTCCCCCCCCCAGCACACTCTCCCTTCCCCTCCCCCACCATCCCTGGGAAAACCATCCAGGTTTCTCCCATGCCGCTTGACCACGGCTGCGCTTCCACGTCCGCAACTCCCCGCAACGCCTCCCCGTCCTTGTTCACCGTACGATACAGTACACGCACTGGCACACACCCTCCCCTCCGCCCTCCCCTTCCCCCTAACGTTTCCTCCCCTTCCACATTCACCCAGGTACGTATTATTTGCTCACCACACACCTGTTCAAGTTCAATATCCGACCTAAAACTATCTGACTCAGCTTCGGTTTCTATTTAGCCTACTGCTCTTTTCCTTGCACCGTCATTACGGTAATCCACTGCTTTCTTAGTTAATTATCTTTTGTCAAATATCTTACGAAGATAGAAAATGTGTCGTCCACCGGAAGCGTTTCGTAGTTCCTGCGGGAGCTGGAACTTCAGGAGCCAACTTCATCGCTGAAATACCAGGACATGCTCTGAAGGCTGCTGGAACAGTCAATAATTCAAACTCTCAGACTTGGGCGTGGAACGGGATGGTTGGAGCCGGAGGCCTCCCGAATGGACGCTTTCAGGCGGTTCACGAGGAGCCCAAAGCCACTTTCATGGCCGCACAGTGAGTTTGCTTCACTTCAAAAATCCACGCTCCTTTCTTTCTTCGTTTCAATGTGTGTGTGTGTGTGTGTTTCCCGGTTCTGCTCGAATTCCCGGTGGTTACTATCCTCACCTGCTCTCTTCGCAGGCTTCAGCAGCACGGTCAGTTCTTTCCGACAATGGCGAACTCGCAACTCCACCAAGCAGCAGCTCAGCAGCAGCAGCAGCTTCAGCAGCAGCTGCAGATGCTTCAGCAGAAGCAGCAACTGCAGCTCCTTCAGCAACAGCAGCAGCAACAGCAACAGCTGCGAATGCAGCAGCAGCTCGCACAAGCTCAGTCTACGGCATGGAATCCCGTAAAAGGACTCCTCCCAGTTGGCTCTCAAGAAGAGCTGCAAAAGCAATTTCAAGGCTCTATGGTCCCTTCATGGCAGCAGCAGGCCGTTCCTGCAGGGAGCCTGGAGGCCTGGGCGAAGTCCACGGGAGCAGCTAACATCGCTCCGCGTCCAGTTCAGAGCGCGTCGGGGCCTGGATTCGCGTGGGGAGTCAATCCCGAAGTGGATCCGCATCATGCGGAGGAGGATGAGGAAGAAATGGATGAAAAGAAGTACAAGCGGTAAGACGACCTTCTCACGCATTTCGCTGCTTCTTACTCCGAGTCCATGCCAGCTACCCGCTTGAAACCGTGTTTTGCTTTCGACACGGAAATTGACATTGCGTGTTCTATTTCGTGCAGAATGATGTCGAATCGCGCTTCCGCGAAGAGGTCGCGCCAGCGCCGTCAAGTGCGGCTGGAAGAGCTCGAGATTCAGTCCGCGAAGCTCAAGATGGAGAACGCCGCAGTGCAGCGGCGGCTGACCGAAGCGACCGACAAAATCCGTCGCTTCCAGGAGTAGAACGCGAATCTGGAACGCGAGCTTAAGCGGCTGCGGAAAGAGCTGGACGATTCCAACGGCGGAAGCAACGCCGGAGCGGCGGGGTCGACTCTGTCGCAAGACAGCAAGCCGTCGTCGCCAGAGAAAGAGTCTGCTCTGTCGTCCCCGCTCACGGCTGTTACCGACGGGCTGGCCCGCGAAGACTCCAAGGGACCGGGAAAGCGGAAGAGAACGGAGGAGAGCGCGACGGATGTTAATGATTCTCCAGATGATTCTTCGGATCCGGTCCTCCTTCCAGCCGTTAACAATATTGTGAAAGCTGAATCGCTCTTTCTGAGTGAGCAGGGCGATGTGGGTACGGAGGGTGAGGATGAGTCAGATTGCCAGCTTTCTGACTCCACGGCGATCACACCTGCTGAAGGAGCTGCGGCTGCGCTTCCCGCGGGTGATGTGAAGGCAAACCCTGTTGCTCCTGCAGGCGGGTATCAGCTGATGGGCCGTGACATGGACGTTGCTGATGGAGAGTTCTTTGCGACCCTGATTGACTGCTTCGATGGAAAGCCCATGGAGGGTTTCTTTGTGTGAGGGAGAGCTATCGGGTCGGTGGCTGGCACTTCTGTGGACATGAACTTCTGAGGGAAGGGATTGGCTTATCAAGGGCAAGACTTAGCTTAGGATCATTAATTAATGAAGGCATATGCCATGCTGCTTGGTTGGTTTTCTTATTTGACGTTTCATGTAATCCGATCATGGAATGTCTGTCTTCAAATAATAGTGAATCCTGTTACAGCTCAGTGAAGCAAAACCCTCAAAAAATGTTCCATAATTCCATTGTTACAGCATTGTACCCACGCAATTACTACCGCATAGTACCGCAGAAACTAGTCAGGGTGTGGTCCCAAATTGTACGCACGGAAACGTGAGGGTCGCAATCGTTGACCACAGGTCCTCACGCTGATTGGACGCATCACGCGACCTTGGCAGACTTACCAGCGCAGACCCTGACGCATTTGGCCAAGCGTACGTACCGCCTGTCGGGGTCTGGCAGGCATACGCACCAGACGCATCACGACCGTCCATTGAGGTGAGAGATGAGAAGAGTTGTATGGTTGGAGTCTTGTGGTAGGAGCGGATTAGGATCTCACAGCGACGAACCCTAAGGCTGATGAGAAAGGTTGGGCGAAACGCGAATAGGTTTCGTTGATACGTTTTGTAACAGCCTAACTTCGTCAGCCTGCACACCCTCCTTACCCAATTGTCGCAATCTCTCGGTGTTTGCCACGGCTTATGCGATCTTGTAAAGCACGTGCCTCTTCCACGCAAAAACTCCACCTTTCTGGCATCTGTCACGCTCATCTGTTGTTGTCCCTCTCTCTGCCAAGCAGCATCTCTTTTGCCGGGAAACTGACTGTGAGACACTGCGCGACCCCTGAGAGGAAGCAGTTCAAGGGTCGTGTGAGGAAGTGGTCGCATCAACATTCAACATCATGTCTCGCCGATTAGCACAGCAGGTAGCAGGGATCAGCTTCAGCAGCATCACCCGAGCTTTTCAGCCTGCTGGGGCATTTCCATCTGCAGGCTCCTCAGGGCCTCTGGGGGAGGTGTTTTCCCAGCACGGACTCTCAGCAGCAGGGGCGTGGTCGCTGGTGCAGCAGCGCAATGCGACGAAGAAGGCCATGGGGTCCACACAGAACGGCCGGGACTCGCAGCCCAAGCACCTGGGGGTGAAGAAGTCTGGCGGACAGGTGAGGAGGGGATGTATGTTTTCTCTTGCAAACTGCTAATCCCACCATTATTAGTCTTCATGTGTCAGTGTATCGCTGCTGTACGTTCTCTTTCTTAAAGCTTTTCCCGTCTTGAGTCTCCCTTTGCTTTTTTTTCTCCTAACCCATCCCCCCGCTCCTTACACCTTGCCCCTGCTGCCTCGTTCACACGCTGCAAACAGGGAGTTGTTGCTGGTAACATCATTGTGAGGCAGCGTGGAACCCGGTTCTACCCAGGGGACTTTGTAGGCATGGGAAGAGACCACACTCTTTTCGCTCTCAAGGACGGTCGAGTGAGGTTTGAGACCAGATTTACTCCTGCTGGTTTCCAGCGCAAGTACGTCCATGTGGATCCAAATGGAGGTCCGCCTCTTCACCCTGCCCTGGCTAACCTTAGGAGTATGATAGAGGGTCTGGAGCAAAGGAAGAGAGAAATAATGGCGTCGAAATTAGAAAGCGTTCAACAATGATTAGCTATGCAACAGGTGCTAAGAAACAATTTTAAAACTGGCCATTGCTTGTTTAGGAATGATCTCTTAGTTTTTTGGACAGTTAGCTACGCCTGGTACTGGTTTTAGAAACGTTTCACCTATTGACGCGTCAAAGCAGTCGCATCTGATTGGTAGTTCTCGCTGATCTGGATTCCATCCAGCAAAGCATAGAGGGTTGTGTTACGGCAGCGAATCAATTCCCATTATCGCCAAAGAACTCTCACGTTCTTCGCCACACGTTTTAGCGGCTCTCGCCAGGCTTGTCAGCGACGTTCCCAAGAAAACCGAGGCGACATTATCCACTTTCCATTTCGCGCCAAGTTCAACGGTAACATCACCTCAGGCTCTCCTTTTCAACCCAAACCAACAGGGAGGGCCTGGCCAGGTTTCAACCACATAAGCGTCTTAGTTTGCTCTGCCATTGCTGAGCGGCGGGTGTGTTGTCGCGAGTCAGGAAATCATGGGAGGCGGTAAGGGAGGGAGGAAAAAGAAGAGCAAAGGAGGTCCGCAGGGAGGTGGCGGAGGGAAAGCACCTGAATCGACTGCTGCATCAGCAACGGCCGCGACAGCAACAGAAGCATCAGCAGGAGCAGCAGCAGCGTCAGGAACGTCGGCAACAGCATGTCACGCCCACAACGGCCCGTCAGCAGCAGCTACTCCGTCAGCCATCCTTTCCTCGGCTACCGCAAAACCCGCTGCGTCTTCCGCTAAAAAGCCCGCGTTGATTGCTTCGTCAGGGTCCGTAGGAGGATCGTCCGCTGGAGGCGGGGCCGCTGCTCCTTCTGGCGACGCCATTTCCACCAAGAAGGCGGAAAATGCTGCGTCAAATGCGCCGTCAAATGCGGTGCCGTCAGCGAAAGCAGCACCTTCCGCGAAAACTGGATTCTCTCCAGCCGTTCCATCTTCTTCCAAAGCGTCTGCTAAGGCTGCTGATGCCGACGAGGATGTGAGTCACCAACGCGACCTTGACGGGACTAGAAATAAAGCCTGACAATCGAACTTACCGATAGAATCGCCCCTCCATATCCGTCGCTCTATCTCTTCACGAAAGGAGCCCTCATACCATCCAACACTCCCCTTCATGTCTCTTTTCCAGCTTCGAGACGTCCCAAAGCCTCAACTATGATGAACGTTTCTGTAGTGTCTCAAAACCCTCAACCCTCAAAATCGGCAGCGCGAATCAGCTACAATGGATTACATTTTGAGGATTCTCGCGTATGGCAACCATCAATTCCACGTTTCCTCTGAGTCTCGTTCGAAAGATGATCCAGGATCCTTCCATTATTACTCCAAACCAAGCCCTGAAACACACCCCTCAACCTGTGTGCATGCCCTCCCGCATTCCTGTTGAAGTTGTTTGATGCGTGTGCAATGGAGGTGGCAGCGGGGGCAACCAGCACACTTCTCGTTTCCAGACGCCTCAGTTTCTGCCTGTGTTTCATGGACATGTGAAATTGGTGACATTTTGTAAGGTTCTTTGCTCTGCCCTTGCAGGTGTTTCACGCACGTGCCATGGAGTTGAAAGCGGAGGGCAACCAGCATTTCCAAGCGCGCGAATATGCAGCAGCCATGGAGCGATACGGCAAGGCCATCAAGCTGCTGCCTGCCACTCATGCGGACAGGGCCATTCTGCACAGGTGCGTACTGAATGTAGAATGCACAGGTGTAGCTTTTATGCGCCTTGTTGACCAGAGCTGAGTGAGTGAGAGGCCTATCCAGGCATGCCCCTTCACCCCGTCCTACACTTTAGCCCCAGATGCGCCCAGTGGACTACGACGAGGGGTGAGGGCGGAGGGGAGGAGGAGGACACCAATTCCCACTCTCAACCTTGTTTCTCCCACCCCTACGTCCATGCGCACTACCCTCCCCAACAACTGTGCGGCCTGTCTGCTGCAGATGCGAGGGCGTGAGGGCGGAGTGTGACGCCAGCCTTTCTCGCAACCCAAGCTTCTGCCCCTTCACCCCTCCCTGGCCTTCCCCCTCCCTTCCCCCTCTCTCTGCACTTTCCCTCCACAGCAACCGTGCGGCCTGTCTGCTGCAGATGCGTCCAGTGGACTACGAGGGGGTGAGGGCGGAGTGTGACGCCAGCCTCGCCTTCAACCCGGGCTTCTGCCGAGCGCTGCTGCGCCGCGCCAAGGCGCTGGACGCGCTGGGGGAGAAGGACAAGGCGGAGGCTGACGTGGACGCCATCATCAAGGTGAGTGTGTAGGGGAAGCTGACGTGGACGCCATCATCAAGGTGAGTGTATAGGGGAAGCTGACGTGGACGCCATCATCAAGGTGAGGATAAGGCAGAAGCTGACGTGGACGCGGTTACTTAGGTGAGGAACGATAATCCAGGTGAGGGAGGGTCAAGGCCATGGCGATTGGCGCGCTGGGTTAGAGGGAGAAGGCCGAGGCGAGGCTGACGTGGACGCGTGTCTTAAGGTGAGAGACATGGAAGAAGCTGACGTGGACTCAGAGATGTGCTGTATAGGAGGGAGATATTGTGAGAATTAAACCAGTGAACAATTGGGATTGATTGGATGAGCATGAACACTGAACTCGTAAAACCACTTTCATCTTTGAACCACAGCCCATCCCCATCCGCATCCCCACTCCCACCACTTCCCCATCACTTCGCCGCAGGTGGAGCCCACCAATCAGGACGCATGGGAGCACAAGAAACGGCTGCAGAAGCTGAAAGCACCTCCCGCCAGCAAGCAACCTTCCTCCGTCCCTCCCTCTGCCGCTGCTGCTGCCTCCGCGCCTCCATCCCTCTCAACCAACCCACAACCCATCCCCACCGCTCCCACCGCCTCTGCTCCCGCTCCCATCCCTGCCACTACCAACCAAGCAGAAGCAGCAAAGCCTTCCCCTGACAGCAAAGTCCCATCTTCCTCCCCTGCCCCTTCAACTGATGGGCTAGGAGATGCTTTGGCAGCTGCTCCAGGTTCTGAATCGGCTGCTGCTCCGGCTTTTGGTTCGGCTTCTGGCCCGGGTTCAGGTTCGGGTGCTGGTTTGGATGCTGGCTCGGGAGGTGGGATGAGCCACATGCCCCAGCTGCCGCCCAGAAAGCAGCAGGCAGCAGCGGAAACAAGGGAGGGCACAGGAAAAGGGACGGAGACAGGGGGAAACGTTAATGATGGAGATGGAAAGGCGAAGGCTGGGAGAAAAAGGGAGGTAGGGGCAAAGAAGGGAGGGAGAGGAGGAGGAAGAGGAAGAAAGGGAGGGGAGGGGCGAGTGGAGACGGTGAAGGAGAAGAGGGTAGTGAGGAGGAAGGTGGTGAGGACGAGGATGCAGAAGGTGGTGAGGAGGCGGAGGGAGGAGAGGCGAGTGCCAACGGTGCGAGTCAAAGTGAGCCTGGCGACTGGCAGAGACACGAGGCTGGCTCAGATGCCCGTGGGATGCGGGTGAGTGGAGTTGGAGAATGAGGATTGCAGGGCAGTTGCAAGTGGTTGCAGGGTAGGGAGTGGTTGCATCGTTAAAGTTACTCTGGGGACGGGTAGAGACGCGAGGGTGGCTCAAATGCCTGAGTGCTCAACACCCTCGCCTCCCATCTCACTGCAGAGCAGCTTCCAACATTACGGATTCCTTGACGCTTGCTTCCCGTTTTGGGCAGTAAAAAATGTTGGGCAGTAAAAAATGTATTCATTCTCTCTCGCGAGTCTTTCTTCTCCCATGTGTGCATGTTTGTGTCTGCATGCCCCCTTCTCCCTCTACCCTGGCACCCCCTCCCCACTGCAGCTTCCATTAGCAGTACAGAATCGTGGACGCTTTCTCCCCCCCGTGTTGGGCAGTACCTTTTGAGCTGACTCAAAAGTCGCCTCGTTACAATGACACACGACGTTGGGCAGTACAACCCGTATGCATTCTCACAAGTCTCTCCCCTCCCATGTGTGTGTCTTGTGCCCCCTCCCCACTTCCCTCCCCTCCCCACCCGACTGGAGCTTCCAGCAGCTGCACAGAATCGTGGGAGGCTGCACCCCCCTGTGCTAGGCATTAGAACCCGTATGCAATATTTCACGAGTCTCTCCCGTCCGATATGTGTGTGTCTGCGTGCCCCCTCTCCTCTCCACCCTCCCCTCCCCTCCCCACCCGACCGCCAGCTTCCAGCAGCTGCACAGAATCGTGGGAGGCTGCTTCCCGCATCTAAACGGGAAACCGATGCTGCTGCACTACACTGACAATGAGGTAAGAGCGATGATGATGTGCGGGTGTTGCTGATGATGTGTGGGTGATGATGATGTGAGGGTGAGTTTGATGCGCCTCTAAGATTCTGAGGCGACTGTTGAAGCGCCTCTAAAGCCATCTGTGAACCGAAAGCCCATGCTGCTTCACTACACTGACACCGAGGAGAGGTGAGGGTGTTGCCTGGGACGCTTCAGAATTTGTGTGGCGCCTATTGAAGTGCCCCAGAAGCCGTCTGAACGGCAAGCCTATGCTCCTGCACTTCTCTGACAGTGAGAAAAGGCCAATGGTGATGTGAGGGTGTTGCTGGGGTGGGGTGAGGCTGATGCTGAGGTGTGAGGGCGTGATGAGGTGAGAGTATCCAAGATGCATGAACAACATAGCCATGCATGAGCAAGAATCTGGTACGAGTTCTTGCTTGCCCTCTCCCTCCCATAGTGTCACACTCATTGCAATTGCCATCCTCGCAACCCAATCTCCCAGGGCGACCTCATTACAATCACATGCAAGGAAGACATTGCAACCGCGCTCAGTATCGGACGAGCGGCAGCAGAAGCAGCAGCTGGAGGGGCATTGTCACCTGTGGCAGTGGCAGCGGCAGCAGCGGCGGCAGCAGCAAGAGAAGCAGCCACGGCAGCAGCTGCTGCTGCAGCCGCGGCAGCAGACGCACAGGCTGCTCTCTCTGCCTCTCTAGGTGCTTCATCTCTTGAAGGTGCTGCGTCTCTCAAAGTTGCTTTTTTGGGGAAAAGAGAATCAGCAGAAACTCATCCTGTTGCTGCCAGTGCTGCTGCAGAGTTGAACGTGGTACCTCAAACCCAAACCGAGGAAAAGGATCATTTGAAGCAGGGGAACGAGGGAACAAAATCTTTTGCGTCGACTCAAAAGTCAACCCAAACGGAGGTAAAGGAGCAGTTGAAGCAGGGGAACGAGGGCAAATCAGAGCCGGTGAATGGAACAGAATCAGCTGCCAAGGAGGCTAGTGCTATGGCGTGTGAGGGCAGCAGCGCTGAAACAACCGCTGCCACTGCCACCACCACTGCATCTGCCACTGCCACTGCCGCCACCATAGCACCTGCCGAAGCCGTCACTAGCAGTACCAACGCTACCACCAGCAGCGCCAGCAGCATACCTGTAAGCACAGTGCTGCGGCTGCATGTGACGCCGCTCAGCCAATCAGAGCAGGCGCAGGCGCCAGCTGTGCCTGCTGACGATGCTGACGTGGCAGAGGTGGAGTGGGAGGAGGTGGAGGAGGAGGGAGAGGAGGAGGTGGAGATGGAAGAGGAGGAGGAGGTAGAGGAGGAGATAGAAGTACCTGTGAGTGTGGGGAGGGAGAAGGGGGAGGAGGGAGAGGAGGAAACTGTGGGTGAAGAGGAAGAGGATAGAGAGGAGGAGGGGGAGGGGGAAGAGGTGGAGGAAGGGGAAGAAGGGGAGGAGGAGGAGGCGCAACAGGAGGTTCTAGTGGATTCGTGGATTATTCAGTTTGCCGATCTCTTTAGGGAGCGGCTGGGCATTGATTCGCTCGCCAGCTTTGACCTGGCGGATGCTGACGTGGCAGCGGTTAATAGGGCGCTGGAGGGGACGGTGGAGGCGGAGGAAGCTTCTGAGTTGCTGCAGCAGGCGGCTGCCAAGTTCCGAAGCATGGTGAGTGCGAGTGAGAGAGTGAGTGTGAGAGAGCGAGTGAAAGAGTGTATAGCAGCGTGTGTAATGGAATCATCACAGTCCATTCCCCCCATCTCTCCCTGCCCTGCTCTCCTCTCCCTCCCCTTCAATCACGCAATAGTGTCACAGTCGATATGAGCAACTCTTCGATCCCTTCTTTCTCTGCCCTTCTTCCCTCCCCCTCCCTCCCCCACGAGCAGGCAGCAGTGGCGCACTTGAACTGGGACAACACCTATATTCCAATTTCCTGTGCCCCTCTCGTTCCCCCTCCTCCCCCTCTCTCCCCATTCTCCCCCACGAGCAGGCAGCAGTGGCGCACTTGAATTGGGGCAACACCTATGTCTGGATGGCTCGGCGCAGGCTCGGGCTCAAGCCCGCTCCTGAAACTGCTCAAACCACCGCCGCTGCTGCTGCTGCTGCTGCTGCGACGGGCAAGACAGAGGAGGATGGTACAAAGGCAGACAACGAGAGCATTGAATCAGGCAAGGGGGCTGAGGAAGCAGAGAAGGGAGGGATGGAGGCGGACAAGGGGAGGGCGGAGAAGGAGAAGGAGGTGTTGAGAGAGATACGGGGGGATCCAGAGCGGCGAGCAGCCAAGCTGGCGGAAGTGGAGGCGGCTCGGGGGGTGCTGGAGCAGGCTCGGGAGAAGTACGAGGCTGCTCTGACGGTGCAACCGAACCTGCCAGATGTGAGTGGTTGACTCAATGGACTTGGTCGATCTGATTGACTTGCTTGACCTGGTTAGCTCGATTGGCTTGGTTTGACCTGGTTGACTCGGTTGACTTTGTTTTATTTACCTGGTTGAGTCAGTTGACATGCTTGACTTTAATGGACTTGGCGGATTCGATTGACTTGCTTGACCTGGTTGACTCGATTGACTTGGTCTGTCTGACCTGCAGCAGTGCTTTGTGGAGATGGGATGGGATGGTACTCAGACCGCCGTTTTTTCAGTCGACTCAAAAGTCAGCTTGTTCACTCTCACACCACCCCCTCCCCATCCTGACAGGCGCTGCTGGCGCTGGGGCAGAGCTTTGTGGAGATGGCGCCTGTCAGGATGGGTGCGAGCAGAGTAGAGGAATTCCAGGCGGAGGCATTCCAGGCCAGTGCTTTGTGGAGATGGCGCGAGCAGAGGAATTCCTGGCGGCGGTGCTGGAAGGGGAGGAGGGCGAAGAGTGAGGGGTGCAGTCGGGTGGCGCACTCCAGATACAGTGCTTCTGCCAATGATACCCCCCTCTCCCCTCTTGTGTCCCCGCACCCCACCCTGACAGGCGCTGCTGGCGCTGGGGCAGTGCTTTGTGGAGATGGCACGAGCAGAGGAATTCCTAGCAGTGCTGGAAGGGGAGGAGGGCGAGGAGGGGCAAGAGGGAGTGAAGGGGGAGAAGGGAGACAAGAAGGAGAAGGGAGCGGGAGAGAAGGGGAGCGAAGGGGGAGAGGGGAAGAAGCGGATGAGAGGAGTGCTGGAGTGTTTGGCTCAAGCAGAGGAAAACTTCACTGCTGCTGCCAAGGTACGTACAGCTCCAGTCCATTTCATGCTAGTTTGAAGCAGTTATTTAAGCCGTTTGTTTCACTGTAACATGATTCGGCACTATTTCATTGAAGCAGGGTTGAGCTGTCAGGTTTTCGCGCACATTTCATTGTCCCCACCCCTTGCTAGCATATGAGACAGCGAACTTAGAGTTGACTCAAAAAAACTCACATTTCGTTTCTTCTCCCCCATCCCTTCTCGTTTCCCAACAGGCTTGTGACACAATCGAGCAGGATCATTTGAAGCAGCACGAAGCAGCAGCACCAGGAGAAGCAGAAGAGGGAGACCCTTCTGAGGCACATGCTGGACATGGGACGGACGAGCCTGGGCATATGGCACATGCTGCCAAGGAAAGCCACTCGGGGCACAAACACGGTCCCACATGCAATCATGACCATGGCGCCCATGCACACAAGCATGGGCCTGGATGCAGTCATGACCACGGGCATGACCATGCGGGGGACCAGGACGCTTTCCTTGCTGATGTGGCGGCGTTCCGGCAGAACGTGAACCTGCAGCTGGCCAACTGCGTGTTTGACAAGTCGCAGGTCCAGGTGAGGCCGGGTGAGGCCGGGCAGATGAAACATTTTCGTCCATTTCTCGCATCAATTTGTTCACTTTGAATGTCGTGATTTGACCATCATCCTCTCACCTCCTTCCCTTTTACCCTCCCCTTCCAACTCCACTACTCTCCCTTTCCACACCCCCTCATCTCGCCTTCTTCCCCTTCCTCCCCTATTCCCCTCCCCACACCTCTTTCTGGCCGCCGTGTGGTGGTTCATGCAAATGGCATCAGTTCAAGCTGTCTGACGCGGGATGGGAGTCGTCTCTCGAGACAGCTGTAGCAGCGTTCAAGGAAGTGGGAGTGTCAGAAGAGGAGGTACAGCGGGTGCTTGCCACACACGCCTCTGCGCAGGCAGCAAGCTCGTCGTAGTAAGTGCCGTTTTGAAAATGTTTAGCAGGTCATTATGTGCGTGCGTACTGCTTCATCCTGTTGCTTTATTCATTTTCTTCGAAACAGTAAACTTTGATTGTTACACTACCACCAGACTGTTGAAGCCATACTGAGGCATACGGTGGTTATTAGTGAGCAGGGGATGAAGCTCCACTCCACAACAGACTCCAAAACATGTAGAGTTGTGCTTCACGTATGGGACCTATGGCACGTTCATACGTGTCCAACATATACATGTACCGTAACTTATGTTAGAAAGAAAGAAAACAGTTTTGTACAGCCTGAATCATTGTCAGGTGTCAGTTCCAAGAAATCTCAAAGCAGAAACAGGAGTGGTAGTGTGTTCGTCCTGGAGGCTAGGTATTCCTAACATGCCAAGAGGACACACGCATCCACTGTAGAAAACTTCTGTAAAACGATAAAGCCGCTTTTCCAGTATTGATTAATTACGGTATGTTCATTTCTGAAGCGCGGGCTTCACCCGTTTCACCGGTACGCTGACGTTGTAAATCGAGCCCACCACCGGGTCCCTGGTGACTCTGAAAATCACGTCGTCTTCGTCCTCCACAGCAACATCCAAGAAATCACCCATGGCGTTCACAATGTCTCCGCAAAGCTTCTTCTTTAGTCTAGGATGAAATTCCTCGCGGTCGCTGTACAGAACTAAACGCAATCTCTCCTTTGCCACCTCCGCGACACTGCATGGCATTACAGAAGACGATGGTGAGAATGAACGATGATAATTACCCTAAAAATAACGATAATGAAAGAAAGAAAAAAAAAGGCGCTTAGTACCTTGGACCCTTCCTTCTCGTGGGAAACACGACTTGCCAAGCTCTAGACAATCGGTGTACGAAGGAAGGTTGAGGCACGAAGTCATCTTCCATCCATGAGGCATTAGCTGTGCACGAGAATACAGTGGAAAATACACAACGTCAATTGATATTGAACGCCGAAGGACGGACAAGAGGACTAATCATGTGACCGTTAAAACGACCTCAAAGCGGCACCGGTTGTGCTCATAGTGAGAACGGACTATTCGAGGCAATCACCAAGACAGCAGCATGAACCTACCGAAACAGCAGAAGGGACCCGACGACCGTTGTTTTGACGCTTGCGAGGAAGGCGACTTAATCTTAGAGCCGCAAAACCCGCTTAATCCACCGGAGGGAAGACGGCTCCCAGGGGACTGGATACAGACAATAAAAATCACGAGTCAAATACACTGATGCTTCAACAGGACTAAAAAACTAATAACACGAAACCTGACTCTCATACGCACTTCTGAAACACTTCTTCTCAATGAAGACCTCGGGTCGGGAAGATTAACAACTGGTCTAACGGAACGACTTCCTATAGTAGCCGCCATTCTTGAAGGCACTGTGTCGTATAAATCGGCTAACCTGGCTAAAGCTCTAAGTTGGTGTGTTAGGGTTAAATTGGGGCTCTCGTTTGAAAAGGGGCTGAATGAGTGTGGTGTGGTGGACGACAGGGATGACATCGGTGGCATGGGGAGGGAATCAGCGGACGGGGGAAAGAGAGGGAATCAGTGGCGCCACTGATCTCTCACCATGACCACAAAAGCCACTGGCGCGAAATCCTAGAGAATTCCGCATGGGGCGGAGAGGTAGGAAGGTGGAATGAAGGGGGGAAGCGTGGGGAGGCTTGGGGGGGGGCTGCTTTGGGCATGGTGAGGAGCTTGGGGAAGAAAAAGGTGGTCCGGAGAGAGGTTTTGAGCTTGGAGGGAAGGAGGGGCTGGGAAATATGAAGGGTTTCCCGCTTCCATCTCGCTATGCTCTCGGAATGAGGCTCATCTGGGACGTCCGTGAAAGTATGCATATCGTTTGTCATCCGTCGATTGGGTCATGCCTTCGTCATCTCACGTGGCGCCACATCTGAGAACTGAGAGCGGGCCAGCGTTCGAATAGCTGGTCAGGACCTGCCATATTCCCAGCGTGGCGTACACTGATTGGACCTTGCGATAACCGTGCTTCGGCTGGAGTGGTTTCCGCAACTGTTTTTTTCGTGGCCGCCCTACAGTGCGGGCTCACCGCGGTCCAGGTCTTTCAGAGCTGTGCTGATGCGTGTTGTCGGAAGAGAAATAATGAAAGTTCACCTGCCAAGATGTTCATAAACAGCTGGCTTGATTTTGTACAGTACAAAACCATCGGGCTAACGTTTCAAGTCAAAATTGGCATTACCGCACCAGCACATGATTTGTTTCTGCCCCGGGCAATGGTGGGCGGAGTCGTCTGTCCGTTTTCGATCAGTGTACTGTACTGGATGCAGTTTACATGTGCTGCAGTCTGATGGGTCATAGAAGCGGAAGAAATTTTTGAATCCATACATTCTGCTTATGGGGAGGATGAGCAGGGGGTGGGTTATGGGCGGCGGCGGAGTGGGGGGTGAAGGAAGGGGAAGGAAAAGAAGGGGAGGGGGAGGGGAGGGGGGAAGCCCAAGCAATTCATGGGAGCGTGCTACAGAGCAGCAGAACAGAACTGTACACAATTGTGCACCAGCAGAGCTGATGCACGACCGCGGCTCGGGTTTGGTTGGTTTGAACTTTGGACATCAGTGGTCTCGTTTGCAACAATCGCACAACTTGGGAGCATCACGAAGGGATAGTGTACAATCAATTTATTATAGCAGACATGAACATAACGCATACGTTTGTTGTAAAGCAATACTGAGCGCGCTCGAAACGCGTACGGTAACCAGCGCTCCACCAACCTCCAATTCCTCCTAACGTCCGCTAAACACGGCACATTATTTCTGGTATGTTCACGCGAGGCGAACACGAATCCCCTGGGATACGCATGGGGCGTCGACGTACACTATGCAGTGGCTTCACTTTAATCGTCTCTGACCGAATGCCCGTTATCGCACACTAGCCAGTACGTGAAATTCGAGCATTGATGCGGCGTCGCGTGTAGCGCTCATGGCCGACAGCGCGCCGTCGACGCGCTATCTCTCGCCTGTAGCTGCTACGCGTTGCCGCGCCTACCGCCTATCACGCATGTCGCGTGCAATTTCACACCGCCCGATTTATCCGCTGCTCCTGCTTCTGCTGATTCTTTCGCCGATCCGTTGCGACGCGCGCCGAGGAGGCAGGCCGAGAGGGCGGCAGCGGCCCGTCGATCCGCTGGCTCCTGGTGGAGCGCAACACGCGCAGGCCGTCGCTCTCTTCAAGGTGCGAGTCGCAGGCCGCCGTTCTCCTTAGATTCGCTGGTTGTCGCTCTCTGGGGGTGCGAATTGCAGGCCTTCGCTCTCGTTAGAGTGTGAGTCGCAGACTGTCGCTCGCGTTGGTACATGCTCCTTTGGAATGGATTCATGTAAAGACCAATTGAATTTCTCTCTATTTAATTTTCTCCCCTCTGCGCCCCGTTCCCCTTCCGCTCCCCTCTCAGGCTTGGTCCTACATGTACGGGCTCGTACCGCGTGCTAACTACAGCAGCAGTAACACCGATATAAGCACGGATCGCGCGCACGCCGCGCAGTTGCCCTTATTTCCCCCCCGGACCCTCCGCCCTCCCCCGGGCTTCGCCTCGAGCACGTCCGCGGGCGGGGGTTCGGGCGGCGGGCGCGGGGCGCGCGTTCCGCTGGCTCCGCACATGGAGAACTGCGCGGCTCTGACGCGCGCGCGGGAGGCCGCGGAGATGCGCGGACCCGCGGGGGAGATGCCCGCCTGGGCGCGGCCGTCCAACTGCTCTGATTGGTCGCCGGACCCTTCCTGGGTGGGTGTGGGGAAGGTGGGGAAGGGGGAGGGGGAGAGGGAGGTGGAGGGGGATTTGGAGGGGGAAGGGTGAGGGGGAGGGGGAGGGAGGAGACATTGGGATAAGGGGGGGTTAAGGCTGAAAGGTGTGAGGGGGGGAACATCAGAAATTTACAAGGGGTACTCTGTTAACTACACTCAATTATCTTGCCCTCAGGCTTCTCACCCTGTTCCTTTCCGTGTTCCACTGCTCTTCCCGTGACCTACTCCATTCTCCCTTTCTCCTCTCACAACCTCCCTTCCCCCATCCTTCCTCCTCCCTCGTCCACCTCCCTTGTCCCAATCCCCCCTTTTCCCTCCCTCCCAACCTCCTCTTCCGTTTTTCCCTTGCCCTAAAACACCTCTCCTCCGCTCATTGCCTTGCTCTTCCTCTTCCTCGTCCCTCCTCCCCTCATGTCCTCCCTCATTGTTTTCCTGTTCCTCCTCACTACTTTCATTTTCGCAATCCCTCACACACCCTCCATCTTCTCTCCCTCTTCCCTCCCTGCCCCCTCACTCCTCTTTCCCTCCTCCCTCCCTCCTCCCTCCCTCCTCCCTCCGTCCTCCCTCCGTCCTCCCTACCCATCTTCCAGATTCGAGGAACCGACGCGGCCAATCTCGCGATGACACGTGTCGTGCAGACAGACCTCTGGGGCCACCAGTTCCCGCCGCCCGGCTCCTGCTCAGGGGAAGGCACGAGGAAGCTTCTGGTGGTGGCATGGCCGCCCGTGCAGGGCTTTGGCATTGGCGCGCAGCTGCACATCATGTCTGCCGCCCTCAGCCTTGCCGTGGCTCACGAGCGTTTACTCACTGTGCTGCCGGGGAGCTTTGAGCATGCCGCTCATGCTGCCTGCAGAGGTGAGGCGTTGTTGCTGGGTAAGAGCAGGTTCAGGAGAGCATGAGCTTCCCCCATTGGCGCGCAGCTGCACATGCAGCTTGCAGAGGTGGGTGGGTGGGTGGGTGGGTGCAGAGAAAACATGGGCTTTGGCATTGGCGCGCAGCTGCTGCACATCATGTCAGCTGCTCTCAGCCTCGCTTCGCCGTGCCGTGGCCTATGGTCGAGTGCTCACTGTCTTGACCTGGGAGCTTTGAACACGCTGCTCATACTGCGTGCAGAGGTGCGTGCAAGCATGGGCTTTGGCATTGGCGCGCTGCTGCACATCATGTCAGCTGCTCTCAGCCTCGCCGTGCGGTGGCCTATGGTCGGGTGCTCACTGTCTTGACCTGGGAGCTTTGAGCACGCTGCTCATACTGCCTGCAGAGGTGCGAGCGCGCGGGTGCAGCAGCATTGGCAGAGAAGAGAACCACTGTTCAAAATTTTCAGATTCTTTTGCGCCCCACTAACTCAATCGCATGTCCCTTGCCCCTTATCTCATGCCCCTTATCTCATGCCCCTTATCTCATGCCCCTTATCTCATGCCTCTTATCTCATGCCCCTTATCCCCCAACCCATCCCCCCCCCCGCCCACGTCCCCACCCCTTTTCCCCAGACACGGGTCACCCCTCCTCGCTCTCCTGCTACTTCCTCCCCATTTCCTCTCCCGAATGCGAGCGGGCAGGCGCAGCAGCATTGGCTGAGAAGGGAGCACCTTACGCACTGTGGTTTATCTACCTCATGCCCGTTTGTCCCCAATCACCCCCCCTGCGCCCCCACAGACACGGGACACCCCTCTTCGCTCTCCTGCTACTTCCTCCCCATTTCCTCGCTCGAATGCGAGCGGGCGGGCGCAGCAGCCGTGGCTCAGAAGAGAGCACCGTACGCCCCGCGCAATCTTGAGGAGATGAAAGCCGCACTTGCCTCAGACGAGCCTGTTTTCTACATAGCCGCCAACTTCCCCTGGCCGCTGCGCTTCAAGTTCCAAGCGGACGCCGCCAGGTAAGGTCCCTGCCAGGTAATGCTGCTTCCAGTTGCTGTGACTCTTCCAGCTCCAGGTGCTGCTCCAAGCTGTACGCTGCAGATTGGGGTTGCTGCAGATTGGGGTTGCTGCAGATTGGGGTTGCTGCAGATTGGGGTTGCTGCAGATTGGGGTTGCTGCAGATTGGGGTTGCTGCAGATTGGGGTTGCTGCAGATTGGGGTTGCTGCAGATTGGGGTTGCTGCAGATTGGGGTTGCTGCAGATTGGGGTTGCTGCAGATTGGGGTTGCTGCAGATTGGGGTTGCTGCAGATTGGGGTTGCTGCAGATTGGGGTTGCTGCAGATTGGGGTTGCTGCAGATTGGGGTTGCTGCAGATTGGGGTTGCTGCAGATTGGGGTTGCTGCAGATTGGGGTTGCTGCAGATTGGGGTTGCTGCAGATTGGGGTTGCTGCAGATTGGGGTTGCTGCAGATTGGGGTTGCTGCAGATTGGGGTTGCTGCAGATTGGGGTTGCTGCAGATTGGGGTTGCTGCAGATTGGGGTTGCTGCAGATTGGGGTTGCTGCAGATTGGGGTTGCTGCAGATTGGGGTTGCTGCAGATTGGGGTTGCTGCAGATTGGGGTTGCTGCAGATTGGGGTTGCTGCAGATTGGGGTTGCTGCAGATTGGGGTTGCTGCAGATTGGGGTTGCTGCAGATTGGGGTTGCTGCAGATTGGGGTTGCTGCAGATTGGGGTTGCTGCAGATTGGGGTTGCTGCAGATTGGGGTTGCTGCAGATTGGGGTTGCTGCAGATTGGGGTTGCTGCAGATTGGGGTTGCTGCAGATTGGGGTTGCTGCAGATTGGGGTTGCTGCAGATTGGGGTTGCTGCAGATTGGGGTTGCTGCAGATTGGGGTTGCTGCAGATTGGGGTTGCTGCAGATTGGGGTTGCTGCAGATTGGGGTTGCTGCAGATTGGGGTTGCTGCAGATTGGGGTTGCTGCAGATTGGGGTTGCTGCAGATTGGGGTTGCTGCAGATTGGGGTTGCTGCAGATTGGGGTTGCTGCAGATTGGGGTTGCTGCAGATTGGGGTTGCTGCAGATTGGGGTTGCTGCAGATTGGGGTTGCTGCAGATTGGGGTTGCTGCAGATTGGGGTTGCTGCAGATTGGGGTTGCTGCAGATTGGGGTTGCTGCAGATTGGGGTTGCTGCAGATTGGGGTTGCTGCAGATTGGGGTTGCTGCAGATTGGGGTTGCTGCAGATTGGGGTTGCTGCAGATTGGGGTTGCTGCAGATTGGGGTTGCTGCAGATTGGGGTTGCTGCAGATTGGGGTTGCTGCAGATTGGGGTTGCTGCAGATTGGGGTTGCTGCAGATTGGGGTTGCTGCAGATTGGGGTTGCTGCAGATTGGGGTTGCTGCAGATTGGGGTTGCTGCAGATTGGGGTTGCTGCAGATTGGGGTTGCTGCAGATTGGGGTTGCTGCAGATTGGGGTTGCTGCAGATTGGGGTTGCTGCAGATTGGGGTTGCTGCAGATTGGGGTTGCTGCAGATTGGGGTTGCTGCAGATTGGGGTTGCTGCAGATTGGGGTTGCTGCAGATTGGGGTTGCTGCAGATTGGGGTTGCTGCAGATTGGGGTTGCTGCAGATTGGGGTTGCTGCAGATTGGGGTTGCTGCAGATTGGGGTTGCTGCAGATTGGGGTTGCTGCAGATTGGGGTTGCTGCAGATTGGGGTTGCTGCAGATTGGGGTTGCTGCAGATTGGGGTTGCTGCAGATTGGGGTTGCTGCAGATTGGGGTTGCTGCAGATTGGGGTTGCTGCAGATTGGGGTTGCTGCAGATTGGGGTTGCTGCAGATTGGGGTTGCTGCAGATTGGGGTTGCTGCAGATTGGGGTTGCTGCAGATTGGGGTTGCTGCAGATTGGGGTTGCTGCAGATTGGGGTTGCTGCAGATTGGGGTTGCTGCAGATTGGGGTTGCTGCAGATTGGGGTTGCTGCAGATTGGGGTTGCTGCAGATTGGGGTTGCTGCAGATTGGGGTTGCTGCAGATTGGGGTTGCTGCAGATTGGGGTTGCTGCAGATTGGGGTTGCTGCAGATTGGGGTTGCTGCAGATTGGGGTTGCTGCAGATTGGGGTTGCTGCAGATTGGGGTTGCTGCAGATTGGGGTTGCTGCAGATTGGGGTTGCTGCAGATTGGGGTTGCTGCAGATTGGGGTTGCTGCAGATTGGGGTTGCTGCAGATTGGGGTTGCTGCAGATTGGGGTTGCTGCAGATTGGGGTTGCTGCAGATTGGGGTTGCTGCAGATTGGGGTTGCTGCAGATTGGGGTTGCTGCAGATTGGGGTTGCTGCAGATTGGGGTTGCTGCAGATTGGGGTTGCTGCAGATTGGGGTTGCTGCAGATTGGGGTTGCTGCAGATTGGGGTTGCTGCAGATTGGGGTTGCTGCAGATTGGGGTTGCTGCAGATTGGGGTTGCTGCAGATTGGGGTTGCTGCAGATTGGGGTTGCTGCAGATTGGGGTTGCTGCAGATTGGGGTTGCTGCAGATTGGGGTTGCTGCAGATTGGGGTTGCTGCAGATTGGGGTTGCTGCAGATTGGGGTTGCTGCAGATTGGGGTTGCTGCAGATTGGGGTTGCTGCAGATTGGGGTTGCTGCAGATTGGGGTTGCTGCAGATTGGGGTTGCTGCAGATTGGGGTTGCTGCAGATTGGGGTTGCTGCAGATTGGGGTTGCTGCAGATTGGGGTTGCTGCAGATTGGGGTTGCTGCAGATTGGGGTTGCTGCAGATTGGGGTTGCTGCAGATTGGGGTTGCTGCAGATTGGGGTTGCTGCAGATTGGGGTTGCTGCAGATTGGGGTTGCTGCAGATTGGGGTTGCTGCAGATTGGGGTTGCTGCAGATTGGGGTTGCTGCAGATTGGGGTTGCTGCAGATTGGGGTTGCTGCAGATTGGGGTTGCTGCAGATTGGGGTTGCTGCAGATTGGGGTTGCTGCAGATTGGGGTTGCTGCAGATTGGGGTTGCTGCAGATTGGGGTTGCTGCAGATTGGGGTTGCTGCAGATTGGGGTTGCTGCAGATTGGGGTTGCTGCAGATTGGGGTTGCTGCAGATTGGGGTTGCTGCAGATTGGGGTTGCTGCAGATTGGGGTTGCTGCAGATTGGGGTTGCTGCAGATTGGGGTTGCTGCAGATTGGGGTTGCTGCAGATTGGGGTTGCTGCAGATTGGGGTTGCTGCAGATTGGGGTTGCTGCAGATTGGGGTTGCTGCAGATTGGGGTTGCTGCAGATTGGGGTTGCTGCAGATTGGGGTTGCTGCAGATTGGGGTTGCTGCAGATTGGGGTTGCTGCAGATTGGGGTTGCTGCAGATTGGGGTTGCTGCAGATTGGGGTTGCTGCAGATTGGGGTTGCTGCAGATTGGGGTTGCTGCAGATTGGGGTTGCTGCAGATTGGGGTTGCTGCAGATTGGGGTTGCTGCAGATTGGGGTTGCTGCAGATTGGGGTTGCTGCAGATTGGGGTTGCTGCAGATTGGGGTTGCTGCAGATTGGGGTTGCTGCAGATTGGGGTTGCTGCAGATTGGGGTTGCTGCAGATTGGGGTTGCTGCAGATTGGGGTTGCTGCAGATTGGGGTTGCTGCAGATTGGGGTTGCTGCTTCGTTGCGAAGGATAGTTGGAGGGTCTGATTTGTTGATTACTGGAGAAGAACTGCTTCAAAGATCACCTTTTGCAGCAGTACCTGGGTCACCCTAGGCAGCCACCATTGGGCACTTGCCTAGCTTCAGACAAGAGTTCATCTTTTGCAGCAAAGCAATCCCTGCTTCATTCTAGTCTAGTCAGCCTTCAATATTGCTTCATTCTAGTGTATTCAGCCTCTGGTATCCCTTTCACCCCGCCGCTTTGTTTCCTTTCTCCCACTCCCACCACACATCCGCGCCCCTGCCCTCTCTTTCCCGTTACCACATGCACACCCAACCCAACAGTATCTGGGGTTCTCCCTGGTACGACCGGCCAATCACAGTGCACCACGTGGGAGGCTCTCCTGACATGTCAGACGAGCTGCTCAAGGTAATGGACCAATCAGAGGGCACCGTAGCTCACCGTGAGGCGCATTGAAGGTAATTCATTGGACCATGAATCACCACGAATGGTGATTCATTCTCCTATCTTTGTTTCCAGTCGATCAAAACACAAACCATGAATCACCATGTCCTGTCTATTTGACAGCCTGTCTCTGGCTGTCACTTTTCAGAATTCTCAAAAGTGATTCACAAAAGCTTTGAGAATCCTCAAAAATCGATCAAAACATGAACCATGAATCACCACGTCCTATCTAGTTGAAGCCTGTCTCTGACTCTCTACCATCCATCCGCCCACCACTACCCACCTGCTCCCACTTTCCGGCTTCCTTTCTTTCGCCTCCTCTTGCCCCATCACCCGTCCACCCATCCATCCCAGGTGCACTGGTGGCGAAGCCAGTCTGTTCGCTTCTTCCTGCGCTCCCCAACAGCCTATCTCTGCCATCTCACCAACGCCGCCCGCCACCACACCTACGGCTTCAGGGTTGCGCTCTCCCTCACCGCTGCTGCTGCTGCCAAATCCGCTGCTCTCGAGATGCTTCGGGGGAGCAGCAGCAGCGGTGGGAATAGTGGTGGGGGTGGGGGAAACGGTGGTGGGGGGATGGATGAAGCGTGGTTGGGAGCTTTAGCTGATGTGGACGGGGGGGTGGTGACTGATGGTGCTGATGGGGAGGATAGTGATGGGGGTGGTGGTGGTGATGGTAACGGTGCTGGTGGTGATGGGGCCAACAACTCTGGAGAAAACGACAGTCAGACGGGTGGTAGCAACGGCGAAGACAGGAGTGGCACAAGTGCTGCCGACAGCAGTAGGAGCAGCAGTGGCGGCAGCAGTGGCGGCAGCAGAAGCAGCGGTATACAGCATCCCCTTTCGCTCGAATCATCCCTTGACTCATCACTCCTAGAGACCTCCATCTGGCCTCTCAACCCAGCAGCAGCTAGTGGCCGTCTCTACACCCCCGCTTGCACAACCCTAGGAAGGAGGAGGGAGGGGGAACAGGGGGAGGCGGAACAGGGGAAGGCGGAACAGGGGGAGACAAACCAAGGAGGTGCAGGGCAGGGGGAGGTGGTATCCTGGGCGGGGTTATCTGAGGAGCCGTATTTGCCGCGGCCGATAGTGAGTGTGCATGTGAGGCAGGGCGACAAGGCTGGGGAGATGCGCCTGCTGCCGCTGAGGGCGTTTGTGGCAGCGGCGCAGCACATGAGGAGGAATGCACCGAACCTGAACCACATCTGGCTTAGCACTGAGATGCAGGTGCGTGCCTTGGGTGGTTGGGTGTGCGGGGGGGTGGGGGGGTGGTTGGGTGATTGAATGAAGAAAATCGATGATCGTGCTGCCGCTGAGGGCAGTGAGGCAGCGGCGCAGCACATGAGGCGCAATGCACCGAATCTGAATCACATCTGGCTCAGCACTGAGATGCAGGTGGGTGGGTGGGTGTATGGAAGGGTGGATGGGTAATTGAAGGAATAAAACCGGTGATAGTGTTGTCGCTGAGAGCGTTTGCAGCAGCGGTGCAGCACATGAGGCGAAATGCACCGGATCTGAACCACGTCTGGCTCAGCACTGAAATGCAGGTGTGTGGGTACTCCCATCCCGTCTTCGTCTCTTTGGGGTTGATTGAAGGGATACAAGGGGTGACAGTACGGTGCTGCCTCTGAGGGCGTTTGTGGCAGCGGCGTAGCACATGAGGAGGAATGCTCCGAACCTGAACCACATCTGGCTCGGCACTGAGATGCAGGTGGGTGCGTGCGTGGGTGTGTGGGTGTCGGTAAAGTGGGGAGGTTCAAAGGGATGCAAAGGGTGACAGCACGGTGCTTGTTGCCGCTGCGGGCGTATGTAGCTGTGGCGCAGCACATGAGATGGATTGTGCCCAACCTGAACCACATCTGCGTCAGCACTGAGATGCAGGTACATGGGTTGGATTCGCCGCTTTTGTTTTTGAGAATTCTCAAGAACTCTCTTCACTGCCAGCCTGCCTGAAGATTGCTTCCTTACGCCTCTTCCTGCCTGTACCCCTCTCTGGCTTTCCGTATGCATCGTCCTTTCCATTCCCCCCCCTTCTGTCTTCACAGAGTGTGGTAGAAGAGGCAATGGACAGCAACGGGACTGGACGTTTCTGTTCACAAAAAACCCAAGGCAGGAGGGCACAATGACCATGCATGAGTACGAGGCTGCTAAATTCACTGTCCCCTGTCTTCCCACTCCCACCTCCCCACTCCCTCTCCGTCTCTCTCCTGTCTTCGCAGAGTGTGGTAGAAGAGGCAAAGGAGCAGCACCGGGATTGGACTTTCCTGTTCACACAGAACCCAAGGCAGGAGGGCACAATGACCATGCACGAGTACGAGGCTGCTGTGGGCGCGGATGTGCTCGTGGGACTCAGTTTTATCAACCTCATTATAGCGTCACAGTGCGATTATTTTGTAGGTACACTCGGATCGAATTGGAACAGGCTTATAGATGAACTTAGGTGTACCAATGGACGATTGTTTAGCGGGTACCTGGCGTTAAACCACGGCCAGTGGAGATGATTGTGTGTACCATATGTTTTTATCATCATGTTATCATTTCATTTCAGAATGGATGTCATGCTGCATATACTGGTATGTATGGAAGTGACTGAATGCTGTACTATAGCATCAAGATTGCCTGAAAAGAGTTTCATTGACCTTTCAACTATACATTGCACCTAAAGCTACAGTAGTTGCGCAATTCAGTGCCTAAATCAACTCCTACACAGTAAACTACAATCCATAGTGCATGATCTACAGTAAACATATCTATACAAGGACCAACCTGTTCCCTCCATCCACTCGTCCACTCGTCCACTCATCCTGTTCCCTTCATCTACTCACTCCACTTCCCCTCCATCCCCAAAAATCACCCCCCCTTCTTCCTCCCTCTCTTCATCCCCAAAACGTTCCTCTTCCTCTGCCTCCTCTTCCTCCTCTTCCTCTTCCTCCTTTTCCTCTTCCCCCCTTTTTTCTTCCTCCTTTTCCGAATCTCCCTCCTCTCTCCCTCTATTCCTACTCTCCTCTGCTTCTACCCCCAAACGCCCCTCCTCCACCTCTTCCATCGCCCCCAAACTTCCCCCTTCCATCCCTTCTTCCAAACTCCCTTCCCCCCCCAAGCCTGATCCTTGAGAAGTTTCAAGAATCTGTTCTTCTACACCTAATTCTGGAGACGTACTATCAAAGGTATGAACCGTATCAAAAGTATGTTCGCCTGAGATTGATCCACCATGTTTCGCTGATATGGACACCGCCGCTCCTTCCCCTTCCCCTTCACCCACAAGCCGATGTTCCTCCCCTAAACCTTCCTCCCCCTCCTTCCCCCCCTGCGAATCAGCTTGCGCCACGTGTCCTCTCCACAGTGCCAGCTCAGCTTCTAAAACCCTAACTTCCTGCTGCTTCTGCTCCAACATTTCCCTCAGAACTGCTACTTCCTCCTCTTGCCTCTCTAGCACCTCTCTCATCAATCCCATCTCTTCTTTATCAGATAACACCTTCTGCTCCAAAATCCTCTCTCTCTGGACGGCACTGCCGGCCGCGCGCTGGGCGGCAGCTTTGTCCTGTTGCAGCTGGCGAATCAGATCCATGCTCGCATGGGCGGCGCTGTCAGCCGCCGCCCGCTCCTGCTCTACCTCACGCCGCAGCGAATCAGAGAGCTCCATTTCGCGCTCTAAGGCGCTTCGGAGGACTGTCAAATCGTCCTCTTGCTTCTCCTCAACCTCCTCCCTTTCCTCCTCCCCTTCCTCCTCTTCCTCCCTCTCCCCCTCCCCCTCCTCCTGCTCGTTACGTACAGGTGAATAAACATCAAGGGAGGCTCCGCACAACGCTCGTACCGAAGCTCGTTGGCTGGTTCGGCGCGAGCGACGGCGGGAGGGTTCGCGAGGCGTGAAGGAGGACAGGCAGGACGGGGCATGGGAAAGGATGTGATCGCGAGAGGGCAGACAGGAGGAGGCATGGGGATGGTTGCTGTCGTGGGAGTGAAGACGCCATGCATAGACCCCCATCTCGTCGCGTGCCCCCGTCTCGTTGCTCGCCCTCGTCTCGTGGCTCTTATAACGGGTTGCCATCTTTTCCAAGCTCTTGTGACTGTATGGAGTGTCCGCCTGGCGGTCGTGACTGTATGGGGGGGTCGCGTCGCGCAAGTCTGGAAGAAAGCTGAGCTGCTGCGCTGCGCAAGGCGACCAATCCCAAGATCCCTCAATGACCGCGCTTCCAACCACGCGGTCGGCCGACTCTGACAGCAGCACCATCCCTCCTCGCGTCGCCTCCTTTTCCCCCTCCTCCTCTTTTGCCTCCTCCTCCTCTGCCTCTTCCTGCTCCTCCATCCTTCCCTTTCTAAGCTCAACACTCACAACCTCCTTATTCTCGTCCTCCCCCGAATGCTCCCCCCATGATTGGCCCCATCTTGCCTTATCCTTACCACACGCCTTTTCCGCCGGCATATCCCCCTTATAGTGTGACTCAAACGCGTCCAAACATCCCTCTCGTCTCCCCAATCTACCATTCTTACGATGCCTGTGGTCTCTCCGTCCCTTTCCTTCTTCCCCTTCCCCTTCCGCCAACACTCGTCCCAACCTCCCCCTTTCACCTCCCCTGTCGCCAGCATCCCGAAACCTTCGTTTACCCCTCTCCCGCAGTCCCAGTCTCCGCCTTTCCTGCCCCTGACAGCTCAGCAATACGCGGTTTAAGGCCGCCTCTGCAATATTGCGACAGGCCATCTTAGCGCGCCGGGTCCGCAGTCCGCCAACGGCAATCCATTTCTTATCCGGTCCTACTGTAGCGCTCTCTCGCACTGACGGGCGTGACACTAATGAAGGTGACAATAGCGAGTGCGAGCGACGGCGAAGGACCGTACGACTGGTTAGAATTTTCTGCTGGCTTGAAGCAGGTGAGAAATCCAAGTTCGGAGGTTCTGAGACTGACGTGGAAGGTTCGGCAACAGGAGAATCTGCCAAGCTGACGTGGAAGGCTTCAGGAGGTGGCCTGACGTTGCAAGTGCCATGACACGTGGCCGAACGACACATGGGAGAATGACATGACGGCAAGTGGGCGGCACGGAAGATCAGCGCGGCTGCGAAACCAAGAAGAGCTCTGGCGAAAACGAAGGCGACGAAGACCAGGTTACGCAGTTCGCTGATGACAGGATGAGCTGACTCGTGAACGACGACCGTGGCGAACACAGCCAGGGAGTAGAGAGCGGCGGCCGCCATCTCAGGGAACGAGCCAGCGCAAGAGGCGTCAGTGAGCAGGGAGGAGGGCAAATGGAAGAGCTTTTCAGAAACGAGGTTGGAGCGGAGAATAAGAAATATGACACAGCCAAGGCCAAGACGAGCGACGCAGCCTGACCACAGCTGGAAGGATAATCTTGCAGGTTGCGAGTTCGAGGTTGCAGCGATAAATTTTGCGAATGCGAGGGATAGAGTTGAGCGAGCATGGGTTTGGTTGGATGGTTGCATGCTTCCGGGGGATGCGGCGAGGCCATGGCTGACCATTGCGAGCAAGCATGGCCATGGCAGGTGGTGGGGGAAGGGAGGGGAGGGGAGGGGCAGGTTCGATTGGTGATTTGTCGAGGAGCCGAACCAGAGTTGTTGGCTCGATGAGGCGTGACGGATTTGGTGGCCACGCTTTCTCGTTCGCTTGATCATGAGTCAGTACGGTACAAAACTACGAAAATTCGGTTAGGCGTGGCGGGTTTGTGTGCTGAATCAACCGGCTGGGGTGTTCCAGGGGGTGCCACACACGGCACACGTGGATCACAGCCTGTAATATAGGTTTGGACCAAGTCTGGTCTGGATGAGTTCTAGGCATCGGGGGGGAACCTTCTCCACGAACTGTTCATGGTGCATGGTCGGGTTTGCGCAACGGAACAAGGTACTGTACGCGTAAACAGGTTTGGTGGTTGGTGATTGGTGAAGCCACAACTGCTGCAGTTGTCAGGTGACTCAGAGCCGAACCTACTAAGCGAATCAGGCGATGAGGCTTGTACAGATGCCGAACCACACTGTCCTGACCAGACGGATCAGGTTTGGCGCCAGCGGTGGGGCCGTTGGTCCCGCAGCGACAACGCGACTCCTCCTCACAGCAGGGAGGACCGCAGCTCGCGGGAGCAATCCAGACCAGTTGGCGCCGAGGTTTGGAGGGAACCTGGCCGCCATGTGGCCATTCTTCCGAGCTTACACGACACTTCAATCACCATTATAGTTGGCCCCAGCAGCCCCACAGCAAACCTCCATATTTAGAAGCACTATGCGAACCTCAAATAATTCTGGCGTGCAATTTATCCAACATTTTGTGGATGAGCATAATGTTTTGAAACACATCAGTATACCGTACCACAAAATTTTCAACACAAACATTTTCCAGCATGCCAATTCAAGCCCACATTGATTAATTCTACACTAATAAACCACAGCAGCTACAAAAACAAAAACCTACACCCTACTGAGGGGTCGCCTTTCGGGTCCTACGAGATCGACGGCTGCGCTTTGGTGTTCCTGATGATGGCGCCACTGCAGCCTTGGGTGTCGCTGGCACTACTGGCTTGGGCTCCTCTGCTGCTGCTCCGTTCTGCCCAGCCACAGGAACCACCTGCAGATGAAAGGGATGAAGTGTGCAGGGAAGGGTATGAAGGATTGCAGAAGCGAGAGAGGGGAACGGGGGGAAATGACTGAGGTCCCCCCAACAGGCAACACCATCTCAAGTCATCCGACACATGTCAGGCAAACACCTGGTATACCGGGAGGACCGCAGTATAAAGGAGTACAACTGTAGGCAAGCACACTTCACAGGGACACCTTCTCAGGCTCACACAAAGCCCACCACAGCAACTCACCTCAGCCTTCACCACTGCCACCTCCTCCTCCCCACTTGTTGCACGCAATCTCTAAAACTTCGTAAAGGACCACCCATAACAGAGGTGACTCTAGAGTCGACTCAATAGACACCTCAGTATTTCAAAAAGATGCCCTGAACAGCAGCTTACCTCAGCTTCCACCACCACCACCTCCTCCTCCCCCTCCCCCGAAATCTTTGCCCTCAGCTGCTCCAGCCTGGCCTTCTTCCATTACTTTTTGAGACGACTTATAATAAATCACCAAAGCTTACCTCAGCCTCCACCACCACCACCTCCTCCTCCCCCTCCCCCGAGATCTCCGCCCTAAGCTGCTCCAGCCGAGCCTTCTCCCTTGCCGCCTTCTCCTCCGCCGCCCGCGCCGCCTCCTCCGCCGCCCGCTTGGCCGCCCGGCGGGCGGCGTCCGCCTCCTTCTGCTTGCGGAACTGCTCACCGCGCAGCTTCTCCTTGTCCTGTTCTGTGGCCACGGCGGAGGCAGCAGAGCGCTTGGCCTGCCCCACGTCGATGATGTCGCCTCCCCCAGCTGCCACCTTGGGGGTCGCGCCGCCCATCTTGCGCAGGTAGATGGTCTGCCCCGTGCTCAGCAGGTTGTTGGTGAACCTGGGAGAGGGGAGGAGGGGGGGAAAGAGAGGGGAGAGGAGAGGAAAGGATGAACGGGTGGAGAGGGTTGAGGTGAAAGTCACCCTGTGTGAGAGAGGGAGGTGTTGGGAGGGGGTTGAGGGGGGAAAGATGGGGGCTGTGAAGGAAGGTTTGTGAGTTAACAGGCTAGTGACTAACAACAGTAGAACGGCGACAAAACTTTCAGCTCTCCTAGACAAGGGAGAGGATGGATGTGCGGGGAAGAGAGAGAGATACAGGGTGACCCTACACTGTCGATGGTAACATCGCATGGTTGATGGTTACATAACCAGTGCGGGGAGAGGCATGGTGGTAACCCTACCGGTTGATAGTGGCCTTACCAGTAGAGGGAGAGACCGGAGGGCACTGAGAGGGAGAACCAGCCAATCATGAGCGGCAAGAACTTGAGGATCGCTTGTGTGTTCTTCTGTGCTGGGTCCTGGTGAGAGAAGAGTAAAAATAGGGTGGCAAGAAGGGGGGGTAGGAGAAGGAGAGTTGGCAGGAGACGAGGAAGGGAGTGTGAGCGCGTACTAACACAATCAACCTTGACGATGGCTTGCGTGTTCTTCTGTGCTTGGTCCTGGTGAGAAGAGGGAAGGGGAGTAGGGTAGTGGCAGAGGGCAACGGGCAGGTTAAAGAGAGGGAGAGGAGCGAGATGGAGCATATGGGTGAGACAAAGGAACTTGAAAATGATCTGCTCCCTGGTAATGTGTGCAGCAGAGCAGGGAGCAGCAGACATGCCACATTGCATGCATGCACGCTCACGTCGCGCTGAGGGGGCTGTATGATAAGCATGGCATTGAACCAGTAGGCACTCACCCAGACTCACACTCACACTGCCACACCCACACCACACAACATATTCAACCACTCACGTCGCTCTGAGGTAGCTGCATGATCTGCATGGCGTAGAACTGATTTGACAGTCACAGGCTGTGTTGCACGCTGTCACGCTCACACTCTCACCAACAGACTCCAAGCACTCACATCGCTCTGAGGCGGTTGCATGATCTGCATGGCGTAGAACTGAGACTCCACCAGCAGCACCAACACACTCTCACACACCACACACGCACTCTCACACTGCCCCACTCACATCGCTCTGAGGCGGTTGCATGATCTGCATGGCGTAGAACTGACTAACACTCACACACACAGTCACACTTGAGGTTCTTTCACACACTGTCACACTCACTGTCACACTCACTGTCACACTCACACAACACTCACTGTCACACTCACACCACACTCACTGTCACACTCACACCACACTCACTGTCACACTCACACCACACTCACTGTCACACTCACACCACACTCTACCCACTCACATCGCTCTGAGGCGGTTGCATGATCTGCATGGCGTAGAACTGAGACGCCACCAGCAGCACTGGCAGCACCAGGTAGGCTGCTGTCGCCTCCCATCCAAGGGGTGGGGCCCCGTCCTGTGAGGGGGAGAACAATGAGGAGAGAACGAACAGGGATGTAGTGGGAGAGTATGAGAGGAAGCGGAGCACCGGCAGCACGAGGTAAGCTGCTGTAGCTTCCCATCCGAGCAGCGGGAATCCATTTCAAGGAAGTTGCACATGGTATGGGGTGGAACTAAGGATTGAAACGTGAAGAGTGTAAGGGTTCATGCGGAAAGTGAGGATGGTATGAAAACACCCCAGAACTGCAGAGCAAGAGGCACACAACACACTGTGAGCCAGAAACAATGCTGTGATAGGAAGTGAAAAAAAAGAAAGGAAAAAAAAAAAAAAGGACTCAGGGATACAGTGAAGTGAATAAGAACACAATGACCTGCGTGCCTCACAATGAAAGGGAAGAGCCACGAGATGCCTGAGCCACTGTCACGAGCAGCAATGGACGTGGGGCCGGCCAGAGAGGGAATCCAAAAAAAGCCCTCCGTAAGCACTCCCTGTCATGGAGGTCGGGGAGGGAAGGCGAGCACGTGGGAGGGGAGGGGATGAGGTGGTGGAGAGCAAGAGATGAATGGACGTGGGGCCGGCCAGAGAGAGGATCCAAAAAAAGCCCTCCGTGAGCACTCCCTGTCATGGAGATGGGGGAGGGAAGGCGGGAACGTGGGAGGGGAGGGGATGAGGTGGTGGGGAGCGAGAGATGAATGGACCTGGGGCCCATGAGGGAGGGATTCAAAAGAAGCACTTCGTGAGCACGTCCTGCCATGGGGTGGTGGGGATAAGAAGGAGAGGGGGGGGTGTTGGAGTGAAGGAAGGTCAAGAGAGGGGACCCAGACGAACCGCTCCATGAGCACTCCCTGTCATGGGGTGGGGCGGGGGATGGAGGAAGTGATGGGGCAGGAAGCACATGGGGAGGGAGAGGATAAGGTGGTGGGAAGAGGATACGGTGATGGGGAGGGGATAAGGTGGTGATAAGGTGGTGGGGAGGGGATAAAGTGGTGATAAGGTGGTGGGGAGGGAACAAGGTGGTGATAAGGTGGTGGGGAGGGGATAAAGTGGTGATAAGGTGGTGGGGAGGGAACAAAGTGGTGATAAGGTGGTGGGGAGGGGATAAGGTGGTACGGAGTGGATACGGTGGTGGAGGGGGGAGCACGAGACGTATGAACGAGGGGTGGGGCTGGGGGAGAGATGGGATCCAGAAGAAGCCTTTTGTAAGCACCCCATGACATGGGGTGAAGTGTGGTGGGGTGAAGTGTGGTGGGGTGGGGTAAAGAATGGTGGGAGAAGTGTGATGTGATGGGGAGAGTGAGGGGAAACGTGATGGGGTGATGGGTGACGGTATGACGTGTAACAGTACAGTGGAAGGAAACACGTGTGTGGGGAGGGCATAAGTGGATGGGATGGAGAGATGAATGTGGGGCCAGAGAGAGAGAAAAAACAGAAAAGCTCTCCATCATGTCACCTGGTCAGGTCACGTTGCTGAGCGCCTTAAACCCTCGAAATTCTCTTCTTTACAGTCACATCCTCTACTCTCACCTCCTTAACCACGTTGCTGAGTGCCTGGTACAGTCCGATGAAAACAGGCAGAGTAAAAAGCATGGGCGAGCACCCTTCTTATTCCTCCCTTTACAATCACATAAAATAGTGTCTCTCACCTCCTTGGCGACGTTGCTGAGAGCCTGATACAGTCCGATGAAGACAGGCAGAGTGGCTAGCGTAGGGAGGCACACAGCCTTACTCTTTTCTTCGTAGAGCCAGCATTGGATTACATTCAATGGCTATCTCTCCACTCATCCTTACCTCCTTGGCCACGTTGCTGAGCGCCTGATACAGCCCGATGAACACCGGCAGAGTGGCTAGCGTGGGCAGGCACCCTGCAGGAGGGCACACGTTAAGGAAAAGGGGCAAACCCAGAGAACACACAGAAATCAACTTAAAACTCGTGAAGGAAAGTGGGGTTATACCGGCAGAGTGGTTTACCCAATGAAAGTCTGAACAATAGTGAAGCACAGCGGTGCATCTAAGAGCCAACGGGGCCAAACCAAAGCCAATGCGTCTAGGAGCTCTAATCGCCACGCAAATGTCATCAGGCCCAGCTCAACGGGAACCAGCGTCTAACATTCCTGGCGTGCCTATATTTGGCATCAGGAATCTTCATTGAGATCTCAGAACATTTTTGGGTTGACAAACACAACAAGCTTTTTGCATCCTCTCCCTTCCCTCCTCCCCCTCCCCCTCCCCCCAAATTTCTTTATCTGACACATCTTTGTACACTCTTTTCTTCCTCACCAGCAAGTGGGTTGACGCCAGCCTGCTTGTACAAGCGCGACGTCTCCAGCTGAATGCGCTCCTGATGGCGTCAGAGCGATGCGAGAAAGGGGAATGGACGGGAGGAGTGGGAGAGGGGATTGGGGGAGAGGAACACAACAGGGGGACAAGAGAGCAGAACGGGTTGACGCCAGCCTGCTTGTGGAGGCGCGACGTCTCCAATTGAATGGGTTCGTGGTGGCGTCAGAGCGATGCGAGGGAGAAATGGAAGTGGGGAACAGGAGAAAAGGAATGGGAGAGGACAATGGGTGAGGGGAATGGAGAGGAAAACGGGAGAGGGAAGAGAGTGGGAAACGCGGGAAAGGGAAGGTAAAGCGAGAAAAAAAGGTGCAGTGCGGAAGTAAAGAGGGATATTCAGACAAGCGGAAAAGCGATGGTGTGGTTGGCGGATATAGGAAGGGTTGGGGGGGGAGTGGGGAGGAGGGGGGGGGAAGGGTTGAGGAGTAGGAGAGGGGGAAGACGAAGACGGGAGAGGGTAGTGGGGGGGGAAAGTGTGCGACGTATACCTGGTCACCGGCATATTTGGTCTGAATGGCCTTGACCTTGGGCGCGAGGTTCTGCATCGCCATTGTTGACTCGACCTGCAGGGGAGAAAGAGGGAGTGAGGCGGAGAGAGGCGAGGGAAAAGGGGAGGGAAAGGGGGAGAGAGTAAAGGGTGGGGAGGGAGAGGGAGTTGATGCGTTTGGTCTGAATGGCCTTGACCTTGGGCGCGAGGTTCTGCATCGCCATCGTTGACTCGACCTGAAGGGAGATAAAGGGAAGGAGAGGGAAAGAATGCGAGACAGAAATGTTGAATCAACGCTTTTGGATTGAATGGCCTTGACCTTGGGTACGAGGTTTGGCATCGTCATTGTGAAAGGCGAGCGAGAGGAAAGGTTGCAGCGAAAGAGAGGGAAATGGAGAGAGAACGCGAAGGGCATTCGCGTCAGCAATTACGTTTGAGTGGCGTTGCAATAGCCGCAAGAATCTACATTGCTTTCATGAATTCCACCAGTAAAATGGAAAGGGGACGCAGTGACCGGAAGGAAATATCTGAGCGGAATCGAAACTAAGAGGGAGAGGGGGATTAACTGCCTCAGCGGGGAACGAGAAGGAGCAGTGAGGTCGAGAATAAGAACAGTGGTGCAGCTTTCCGCGTGCAAAAAACCGTATTCTTACCACGAGGAGCGGACTACCTCCGCGTACCTGCTGCTTGGTGAGCGGGAAGGTGACGACTTTAACGAGCAGCGTGAGCAGGATGATGGAGAAGCCGTACGCGTACGGCACGTTCAGCGCCGCCAGCCCTTGCTCCAACACCTGCGGGGAGGAGGGGTGGAGGAAAGGGGCGATTGAGTCGAGGAGGGTTAACAGAAAGAATTTGCGGGTAGAGAAGCAACCCGTACGCGTTCAGCGCCGCCAGCCCTTGCTCCAACACCTAGAGAACGAGATTTGCGGGATGAGCGACGACACACGCGGGGAAGAAACGAGGAAGGGTACATTAAGGGCTTTGCGAGATGGAGAAGTAGAGCATGTTCAGCCCTTGCTCCAACACCTGCAGAGAGGAAGTTGGCGAGATGAACAGTAACACACGAGCGGAGGAGGGATGGAGGAGGAAAGGGTAAAGGGGTTTGCGGGTTAATAAAAAAACGGACAATGTGCGGCGTAATGTTGAACAAGAGAACTTCAGTGAGCCTCGCGTGGACGACAGGACGCAGCAGGACAGCGTTCCAGTTGCAGAGCGCGGTCGTTAAACGCGTCAAGTACCAAGGTACCGGCCTTCCTATCAACAGAGCAAGAAAGGGTAAAAACTTTGAGGTTTCTCAGAAGTGGGATAAGCATGGCATTTTCTCCTCACAAAAGTGCCAGTGGACAGGGTTCCAATGCAGTGCGCGCTTGTTGAAAGTATTGACCAACGGGGTACGTGCATTTCCTCCTTTCGACAAAGCCAGAAGAATTACAGTGCACATCAGCATCAGCACAAGCCGTGCACTTGCGACATTATGCCTTGGCGCAGCATTGAGCCACGGCGCGAAAGGGGAACACTGGCTATTGGTGCTGGCGAGGGACCGACGACACAAGGGACCGACGACACAAGGGACCGACGACACAAGGAACTGACGACACAATTGTGGACCCCCGGAGCAGATGCTTGATGATACGCCTCCTTGATAAAAGCTCTAATAAATCGCTTATAACTGTAAAGCAACTAACCAAGCTAATCGACGAGAAGCTAGTGGGCCTGTCCGATCGCATAAGTTGCCAGTTAGTCAGTGAAAGCCATAATCAGAAAAAGACACCATCGCACTGGTTACCCAGAATTTTCAAAAACGACTTCCATCTGTCACCATTAAAAAGCTCCCCATGATATCCGCACGCCAAGAAAAAATGTTTCAGAACCTGGATAATCACTTTCAAAATCCTTTTTGGGAAGAGAGGAGAAAAAACACAGAGATACGTGAGACTGGGTCGACTGCACCTCAAGCTCTTACCTTCAAAATGCTCTCCAGAAGGTTCGCGAGCCCAGCGAACCAGCCACCATCGGAAGCCGCCGCCTCAACCGCTGCGTCTCCGCCAGACGCCGCCGCGTCAGCTGCTACAGCCGCCACGGCGGTTGACACGTCAGCAGCCGCGGAGGCCGCCGCGTCCGGCGCATCGGCAACGGCGTAGAGGAAGTTGTGGGATGTAAGGGTGGAAATCGCGGCGTCTAAATGCAGCGGATCGAAAACGGCCCTCGAGGCAAGGCTAGACCTTCCTGCTCGCTTGCTGAAACGGTGACCGTGAGATGGGGAAAACCTCAACGGTGCTGATCGTAGTCCTCCGGAAAACCCAGAAGTTGCAAGCTTATTTTTAAGCCCAATTGCGGTCTGGGATGTCAGGCTTGCTGAAGTGGACGCCATAGAAATGACACTATCCATGGCCGATCTCGACTGAACGTAAGGACAATGGGACACGGCACGTTCAACCCAATCGGAGCGTCTGACAGACTGTTTGGCGCGCGCAGGCAAGCCAGAAAACTGCTGTTATGACGCAGGACAAAGCCGCGTCGCAACAACAAGCAAGGAGAAAGCTCTAGGACTGGGGCCCCAAGAGGAGCTAGGAGAGGACAGGTATGAAATGAGGCCTCTCATTGAGCTGCGAGAAACAGGGTGCGGGCGTCTAGCGAAGCACAGAAGGCGAAAGGTGTGGTGTAGCTTGCAATGCGGTATGACAACCTGTTGTGGAAAACACTAGCGGTGATTTGCGCAGAACCCGAATTCATCCGCACTTTGCCACCTCCAAAATTTCCTTCCGCGTTGTCCTCTTCAGTGGTGCGGGGGACTCGAGATTCCGCGAAAGCTCCGAAAGCATGATTTGATTGGTTGCGCTCTGATTGCGTGATCATCCCAAAGGACACGCGCGCGGAATGTTGCGGTCGTGTCCGCTTGAGATTGCACGAGAGAGGAGTGGGGGCTTTGTGACCTCAACAGCGTCGGACACGGCTCGTCTGAAGACGACACGTAGCAGGCTAACATCCTGTCAGCACATTCTCGAACCTTTTGACGTAAGCGAAACGCCACCGTGTGAAAGCCAGAACCTTGAATCGCTATTGATAGAGTCCATCTGAAAATTGGGCCCCAATAAAAAGTTAATAAACTCATCGACAATTCCGTCTTATTGCTGGAAATGGTACTCTTATGGTAAAAAAAAAGGTCTTCCTCAGAGCTTGTGAAGAAACTACAATAATACAAAATCAACTAAAGCGACGGCCATAATAAGGACGCTACGGAAACATGTACAACTTTCAAAAGTAATGCTTTCATGAGGGCTCCTCCGACTTCTCAAAAACGAATAGACCCCCTGTGGCAACAGCTCGGCCAACCAGAATCCGCTCGTCGAGAAATGTGATCATGAAGCGATTGGCGGGAACAGAGCTGAATTTTGGGCAAAACAGAAACGTCCAAAACACAGACCGAGTTGGATGTCAGTATTCAGTAGGAATATAAAGAATGCCTATAAAACTGTTGCATTTTATTGAAAACTTGGATGTGGTTTGCTGTACCTTGACAATACTTCTGTGGTGGTGCGAAGAGGGGAGCCAAGAGGCACTGACAGCTCCAAGGAACGAAAGAACTGCAGCGCCTGCAACACACAGGGCGCACCATGCAAACGAAGTACACCATGCAAATTCGGTACACCATGCAAATGCAGTACATCGTGCAAACACAGTACAAATGCACTATGGATGCAAAATAGGCAATCAATGCAACAGCAACAGTGCGAGCAGAGCATAGCCGCATAGGATTACACAATGACAAGTGCATCCCCAAGCTGTGTGCACTTCTCCGACGCCTCAAAAGTCATAGCCACATGGGATCACAGATGACACGTGTGCACATATGCATGTCTGCCTGCACGAATGCGTGTCTGCAAGCATGAATGCACATGTCTCTCACATCTGGCGACAACTGGGTGCGGGGCAGAGCAGCCGGTGCCAGCAGAGCCTGCAGCTGCATGCATGTCTCTATGTCTGCATGTTTGGATGCACGCACTGTGTCTCTGTAAATGCGTGCATGTATGCACCTGTCTCTCACATCTAGCGACAGCTGGGTGCGGGGCAGAGCAGCCGGCGCCAGCAGAGCCTGCAGCTGCATGCATGTTTCTATGTCTGCATGTTTGTATGCATGCATTGTGCCTTTGTTACAGCATATCGGCACCTCTCACATCTAGCGACAGCTGGGTGCGGGGCAGAGCAGCCGGCGCCAGCAGGGCCTGCAGCTGGTCGTTGATCTTCACACCGCCCACCGCCGCCCGCTCAAACTGCAGCTGGATGGCGCGGCCACTGCGCACGTCAAACTCCGCTGTCACTATCAGCGACGCACCCTCCTTGTCCTGTGAGGGGAAGGGGTGATTAAGGGGAGAGACAGCGAGAGGACGAGAGAAGAGAATACGAGGAGAGCAGGGGAGGAGGACGGAAATCGAAAACATGGGAATACAAAGAAAGAAGGCGGATAAAAGGCCAAGAAAAATTTTGCCACCTCTGGAATTGGCCGCATTGATGGGTACTAATTCATGAAAAACTCGTTACTGAAGCTACTGAACCCCTGCAGCTACTGAATCCAACCCATACCTCATTGCCATACCTGCAGGCCCGGCAGGCTCCACCGAACCACATTCTGCACCGTGCCTCCGTCTGTTCTCCTGGCACAGATGTAGCGCTGAAAGATACGACCCACCTGAACATGTGAGGAGGGAGAGAGGGGAAGGGGTAGATATGGCGGGGGGGGGGGGGGGGAGGGGGGGGTGGAAGGGGGATGTAAGTGGGGAAAGGGGGGCCGGGGGGAAAGATGCAATGCTAGAAGATACGATTCGCCTGGACATGTAAGGAAGGGGGATGGCGAAGGAGGGGACAGAAAAAGAGGGAGGAGGGAAGAGGGGAAGGGGGGAAGGGGGGGTGGAGATGATCGCTGAAAGATATGGCTTGCCTGGACCAAGGTGGATTAAGGGAAGGAGGGAGGATACAGAGCTAAAAGCTAATCTTGAGTCGTCTAAAAACGAGGTTACAGTGCTAGCAGCTAAGGTCCACTTGGATAAGGGAAAGGGAAAAGGGGGATTCAAGCGCTGGAAGAGTCAATCCAGGACAGCGAGGGGGAGGGAGGGGGAATTGAGGGAAGGGCGCAGATGAAGGCGCAGAAGAAGTGTTGGAGAGAGGGAGGGAGAAGGGAAGGGGAAGGCGGGGGCGAGGGTGGAGTGGTTTTGGGGTTGACTATGAAAAAGGCAAATGACTCAAAAACAGACGACGACGGAAACATGAGAATGCTCCTATAGCAGCCGTGCTATAGGAGCATTCTCATGTTTCCGGAATGCAGCTGCACCTGTAGGATGGGCAGCGGAAACGACGAAGGAGCCATGAGAATGCCGGTGACGTCAGCAGCGGTACTGTACTTGAGCTCCCACCAGCCGTCCAGCTGATCCAATCCCGAGGCCAACGGAGTTCCGCCAAGTCGTTCCAAGTCAACGACTGCCTCCTCGATCTCGCCGCGCCGCTCCGAATCCGCCTTCGCGCCGCGCTCCGTTCCGTCGACGTTCCACAGGAGCCGGGCCTGCCGCCGCCGAACCTCACTCCGAGCCTCCTCGTCCACGTCCAGGCCGAGCCTGTCAGCTGCCACGGCTGCTGTAACGACTAGCCTCGGAACCTGACGGGTTGCTCTAGGGAGGGTTCGAGAGCTGACGACGCCATGCGTAAATGGACGGAGCTGACGTGGAAGCGACTGATAGGCGCACGCGGAGCGGTTCGACGTGCATTGTGCATGCGATTCGTAGCAATGCGGTAGCGTCGAGATCGCGTGTCGCAGAGTCGTCGCAGCGGTCGTTAGGGTTACGGAGCCCATTGGGCCGCAGGAAGCGAGTTGTGTGTTCGCGAGTCGCGACGATCAGTGGCACGTGCGACCCGTGTGCGGCGATTGCGCTAAGGACTTGCGCAAACAAGCGAGGGGGAATGTCAAAGCAAAGCTTGAGGGTGTGGCTGATGCATTCAGTTCATCAGTATGCGATACATTTCCATTAAAGCGCAGTGTTGTGTACACTTCCAATGTTTGGGATGTAACTGGTTCTTTGAAATATAATTTCTTTCCCTCTTGGAATTTCTGTAACTTTACTTGCTTATCCGAGTGTGGTACACATGCGATCACCATTTTTTTGTGGAGATTTTGTGTAGAAATGCGTAACACCCCAATTATTATTGCTATGTACAAAATTACCGTACATTCTCTAACCAACACACAATCACATTGGGTAACTTATCAGGAAGCATAACCCAATTCAACCACCATACCTTCACTTCATCCTCCTACACCCCTCCAACCCCCCCTCCAACCCCTACTCCCTGCCCTTCCCTTCCCCCTACCTGCCCTACCTACATACACACCACACCAGAACATACGTTTTTCTTATTATGCACACAATGATGCTTGTACCTGTGCTGCCAAATTATTTCCCTACTTGGGGTGCATTGGCCAACCTCCCTCTTCACTTCACATTATTCATGCACTCGACAAGAGTCTCAAACTTGCGCGGTTTCTGCAGCTTGCGTGGCAGGATGACTTCGTCGACCCCCTGCACCGACGCGTACTTGCTCACAAACACGTCCTCGTCCACAATACTCGCCACGTTCTTACCCTGCTTGGCCGAGATGATGAACGGCTCGTCGTCTGCCTCGCTGCGCTTGACCAACTTGGCTTGGCCGCGAGCAGCAGGAGACTCATACTGGCAGGAAAGGTAACAAAAATGAATCAGGAGGAGATAATTCACGGATGATAAACAAAAAATTAAAAAAAAAAAGTAAATAAAAGGCGGTTTTAGATAGCCAAAAAACGCAGAGCGAGTTTATCAGGTGCAGTTTTTTCTTACTTGATGGCCTTGCTCCTGCTCGAGGAGGCGTGCATATGTCTTCTTGCCCTTGACGACATGCAGCAGCATGAGCTCGCGCAGCAGCAGCTTGTCCTCCTTCACCTTCTTCTTCAGGTCGCTTTCGAGTGACTTGAACGCGTCGTTCGTCGGCGCAAATATGGTCACCGTGTACTTGCACAGCAGGTCCGGAAACTCCTTGTCCAATCCTGAAATAAGACCATGATCATGTTTCAGAAAGTTTATATGTACATTTCGAGAGTGAAGGAGGAGTCACGTTGGAAGATCGTGTAGATGTTACGTATGCGTAAAATTCTAAATACCTGCGCGCTTGAAGAAGAAGAGAAAAGCGGAGTAGTCGTCCTCAAGGGCGTCAATCAGCGCGTTGGTGGCCCTGTTGCCAGGGTTGTACGTTGCAGGCCTTGCAACGGCAGCCGGAAAGAAGTCATCAGTTGCAGCTGACAGCGTCAGCAGAAGTAGAGAGGATAGAATTAGTAGTTGAAGACGAGCCATTATAGCTTCTTATGAAGTTGTACGAGAGAAAAGAAAGTCAAGTCTTGATGGTTGAAGAAAGGACGATCTTTGGTCGAGGAGCAGCAACGAGAAATCTTGGTCTCCTGGGTATGGTGATTTGTTGGAGTGCAAATTCTTGCGACATTTGTACCCAAACAATGGAATGTCACTTCAGGGAACTCCCAACATCGAGCCGCTGCGATGTCGGTGAAACCGAGTCGCGTACGGAACGCGCGGCTGGCTGAGCCACCATAAGCGGCTTCCAGACCAGACCAGATCCGAGTCCACCTCGGAAAGGTGCCACCGTGTCGAGTTGGCAGCAGTCGACGGCGCGAAAGACGGTCTGACGGAGGATGCAATTGGTTTCCATCCGAGAAGTTTTGTTGACTTGGCATGACTATCCTGCCCAATCAAGAAAACAATGGTGTTGCCCGCTTCTTGCCAAAATGGAGTTAAAGTTACATATTTTAGTGTAATCTGGCATTCAAGAAACGTCTTAGCGAAGCACCCTAGAACGAGGGTTATCCAAACACCTCTCCTCGTCGTCCCCCAACAGCTCACCATGACAACTTCGAAGCGCCTCAAGGTGCGCAAAAAGCTGACAGGTGTTGATTCACCGCAAACTCCGAGACCTCTCAGGACGCGTTACACGGAGCTGGTGACAGCTTCTTTCAGTTTCTTGGTTTCTCCGTTCCATCAGGAAGCTTTCGAGGCTCCTGCTGGGGAGTCACTCTCAACGATATTCCCTTCGCCGTAGTCACTTTCGCTGCAGTACACTTCTCGAAATCCCGCTGTCACACTCACCGTTTCTCCCTCTCCAAGATAATTCTCGCTGCTCCGCCAATAACTGTTAATCTCCAGAGCGTGTCGTTTATGGCAAAGCTGATTTCACCAATTGCCAACTAGAAAGCCAAACCCGGCTAACCCTATCACACAGCCATTCTGTTACTCGTAGCGGGCTGACATCATCATGGTGACGGCTATGATGCAACGTCCTGGAACCTTCCATAGTTCGCCGTCGGCTGTTTCCTCCGTCAGTCCTTTCCGGGGTTCCGCCAACATAGCGTTTCCTCCCAGAACCGTCGCGCTTCGTGCCCCGTTCTTAGCGCCGTCAATCGCGCCCTCCCGTCCACGTGTCGCTCTCAGCCTAAAGCAACACCGTCAATCGCGGGTCGCGCTCTCCTCTTCCTTCGCCTCTCCTTCGTTCTCCACCTCTCTCTCCCACTCTCATCCCTCGTCTTCGTCTCCCCATTCGTCTCACACGCGGCTTTCTAAAAATCGCCTATCCGTACGCGCTACAGCAATCCCTGCTTCTGTCGCCACCGCTGTGCAGCCAATCGTCGATGCCTTCCTCCTCCAGCCTGCCACGTGGCAATCCGCTCTCCTTGTCACGTCCACAATTTTTGGCGCTGGGCTGCCCGCACTGCTCGCTGGGCTGACGGTGCCAGGGATTCTGTCCGCGTTCCTCCTGGGTGTGACTGTATGGAGGGCGTTCTACTGGCCGGGCTTCCTCATTGTCTGCCTGTACTTCATTCTCGTGCGTAATTCTTCCATTGATGTGATAGTCTGGAGGTTCTGCTGCTGTTATTTTTTAAGAAACCATTCATTTTTTCTCACGTTAAGGGCATAGTTTCCAGTGCAATGCTGCAGCAGAGGCAGCAAGAGCATCTTGAAGGGACGAAACACCTCTTTTCGCTGCCTCTCATTTTCTCAACCCCTGTTTCTCTGCTCCCAGGGGACACTAGTAACGAAGGTGAAGCTGAAGCAGAAGCAGCAGGAAGGGATAGCGGAGAAGCGGAGCGGGAGGAGGGGGCCATGGAGCGTGGTGGGGTCGGCTGCGGCTGCGGTGGTGTGCTGCCTGGGAGCCATTGCTGCTGCAGGAGGGGGAGGTGTTGCAGGGATGGAAGGGGTGGTGCTGCCGAGTGTGGAGGTGTGGCAACTGGGTTATGTGGCCAGCTTTGCTACCAAGTTGTCAGACACTGCTGGGAGCGAGATTGGCAAGGCGTTCGGCAAGCGCACGTGAGTGTAATGAGAAGAATGGTGATAAACGATACTGATCAGCTCGTTCATGTTTCTAGGATTGGCATGTAGTGTGTAGCAGGCGGTAAGTACTGTGGTGCTGAGGTCTGTGTAGTATGCCCTGATTAGCGTCCCCAAAAATACAGTGTCGTAATTATTGTGCACACGGTGCATACGATAATCACGCACTCAGTGTCAACCTCTTGTGTCCCTGGCTGGTCCTGTCCTTGCAGTTTCCTGGTGACTTCCTTTCAGCCAGTTCCCAGGGGCACTGAGGGCGCCGTGAGTCTTGAGGGGACCTTGGCAGGCCTGGCAGCTGCGGTGGTGCTGTCTGTTGCTGCTCTGCTCACCAATCAGGTGATTCTCAAGATTGTGGATGAAGGATATGAAGTTTGGCTTTGAAACTGCGTCTTTAGATGGTTGAGGCGTCTCAAAATTGAACTGCTGTGGTGTTCTGTGCTGCTCTGCTCTGCACAAATGCGCATGCGCAGGAGCATTCATATGCATGTTGCAGACAATATATGAACTCACATTTTTGTCGTACAAGTTTGATGCTCCCCTTTGTTGAGCTCCTCCTACCCCCTCTCCTCCCTCTCCCTCCCCACCCTTTCCTGCCATCCCCTTTCATGTTTTTAAGGTAAACTCTGTTGGAGCCCTCTTCTACAAGTTGGCATAACAAATTTGTGGCGTGTGAGCAGATCAATTGTGGCAGCCCATCTCGTTGCACACTGCACCTCTCATATTTGTGCCCCATTCATTCCCATTGCAGGTGAGCTTGGTTGGAGCCCTCTTCTGCATACTAGCGTCACAAATTGCCAATTTTGGAGAGAGTTATGTGGGGGCTACACTTCAAGACAAACCCGGTTACGAATGGGTAAGTGCGGACACATTCTTGTTCATATGTGTATGGTTCTGAACGATCCATTCAGCTCAGTTTTCCAACTGCGATCGTCGGTACTTGTGTGGTCCATCAAAGCTAATTCGTGTGGTTGCTTGTGTGTGTTGTTGCTCTTGTGCAGATGACAAATGACATTGTGAATGTGATCAATATTTCGACCGGGGCTTTGATCGCCATGGCCCTTGGTACCATTTTCGTCCCATAGATTGGTGTATGTATGAATTCAAGAAGGTTTCTTCTAGACATGTCTAGAGTAAGCTAGAGTAAAATAGACACTAAGAAATGGGCATGCTGGTTGATGGCTTGCTACTCTCTTTGCGTTTCCTATTTCATGTTGTTCTGTACATAGCATTGGAACGAAGTGCAATCAGAGGTCACGATTCCGCGAACACTTGGCCCAACTTTCTTACGGAATCAGCTGCTCCAAGCGTGTGAAGGAAGAGTTGCGTGTTGTTCATGCAACTCTTCCTTCGGCCACTTGGGGGAGTTCCTCTCGGCGTACTTCGCCGTTCTCGGGACATAGAAGCGTCCGCTGCGACCACCCCTGACCAAGCGCGGGTCACGCTTTCATGGAAGTGGCTCAACCCGCGCTGTGTTCAGGTTGTGCTAAGATTTTATCAGTGGCCTTCCTAAGAAGGCATATTAAGGCGGCTAATTTATAAACCACGGTAGAGGGTACCGTGTGCTATATTTAGGCTCTAGCACGGTTACGGCCGATGGATGGTGTTTTTAGCATTGTATAATGCTATTTCACCTCCGCCAAAAAATAAAACAAAATAAATCAAAATAGTACGCATTCGGAAGTTGAACACCTATTGGAGGAGACGGCTGGTTGGAACAATCGAGAGTAGAATTAGGTGATTTGTCAAGTGAGAAATCCATGCTGACACTTGGCGGCAGTCGCACACTCTGAAGTGTCACCGGCATAATCGTTTGCTTGGGGTGGGTCCCGAAACTACGTTTTCGCAAAGTACCTTACCCAGCCGTTTTTTATCTTAAATGGACCGCTCTACAGCACTCCCCGCTTCTCTCGCTACCGTTCTGCAGCCAACCGTCGATGCCTTCCTCCTCCAGCCTGCCACGTGGCAATCCGCTGTTCTTGTCACGTGCACAACTTTCGCCGTCTTGATGCCCGGACTGCTTGCCGGGCTGACCGTGCCAGGGGTGGTGTCCGCGTTTCTCCTGGGTGTGACTGTATGGAGGGCGTTCTACTGGCCAGGCTACCTCATCCTCTGGCTGTACTTCATTCTCGTGAGTAATACTTTAGATAGCGTGACTGTATCTAGATTAAGCTTCTGCTATTCGTTTTCTGCAAAAATCATACTTAAGGGCACAGTGACCAAGGTGAAGCTGCAGCAGATTCAGTGGGAGGAAAAAACCTTTTTTCGCTGCCTCTCCTTTTCTCGAAGCCCTGTTTCTTCTCGCTGCCTCTCCTTTACGCGAACCCCTGTTTTTCTGCACCCAGGGAACACTGGTAACCAAGGTGAAGCTGAAGCAGAAGCAGCAGGAGGGGATAGCAGAAAAGCGGAGCGGGAGGAGGGGGCCATGGAGCGTGGTGGGCTCAGCTGCTGCTGCTGTGGTGTGCTGCCTGGGAGCCATTGCTGCTGCAGGAGGGGGGATTGGAGCGGGGATGGAAGGGGTGGTGCTGCCGAGTGTGGAGGTGTGGCAACTGGGTTATGTGGCCAGCTTTGCTACCAAGTTATCGGACACTGCAGCGAGCGAGATTGGCAAGGCGTTCGGCAAGCGCACGTAAGTGTAACAAGAGGTATTTTTAAGCCGTGTTCTAGAATCGTGTGGCACGGTAAGGAAGTGCTGTGGTTCTCAGGTCAGTGGTTTGCCCAGTTAGTGTCCCTTTATCTACAATGTGGTGATTATTGTGTACATTCCTTGCACAAGTGATAGCTAAGTGCTCTCAATATCTAACCCTTGTATCCCTGGCTGGCCCTGTCCTTGCAGTTTCCTGGTGACTTCCTTCCAGCCGGTTCCCAGAGGCACAGAGGGTGCAGTGAGTCTCGAGGGAACGTTGGCAGGTCTGGTAGCTGCTGTCGTGCTCTCCGCTGTTGCTCTTCTCACCAGCCAAGTGAGTCTCAATGAATGGATTTTCCTGTCGCTCGGTGCAGACATGCACGTGCACAGGGGCATTGTTGTAAGGTGATCCCTGCTGGAGCTCCCTTTTGTATCTCAGCATCAGATTTTGCAACATGTGTGGATTTTGCATTGCGTCTCACATTTTGTGCCCCATGCAACCCCCTTGCATGCCTTGCAGGTGAGCATTGTTGGAGCCCTCTTCTGTGTGCTGGCATCACAAATTGCGAATTTCGGAGAGAGTTATGTGGGGGCTACACTCCAAGACAAGCCCGGTTACGAATGGGTAAGTGCATGCATGCACTTTCCTGTGGCTCTGAACTCTTTATTTATCAGCTCAGTGTATCAAGTGAATTTCTCATTTTAAGCCCATTTGTGTGATTGCTTGTCTGCAGATGACAAATGACATCGTGAATGTCATCAATATCTCTATTGGGGCTTTGATAGCCATGGCCCTTGGTGCCATTTTTCTCACATAGATTGAGGTATGTTTCACACTTGAGATGCCTTTGTAGATGAGTTTTTAGAGTAGACACCAAATAAATGGGTTTATTGTTTGGGCATGTTTCTCTATATATGAACATTCAGATACCTGTGCGATCTTCGTGCAAGCACAGCCAATCGCAAACACTGTTCGCGGGCTCATCCACGCTGTACTACCCCGAATCCAGCGTGGCGAGCATTCGAACGACGAACGCTTGTTTGGACTAAGCATTCCGTAAGAACATTCGAAAGTCTAGCATTGGGGGATTCGTAAAATCAGAAATCTATGCTGACACTTGGCGCCAGTCGCACACAAGAATAGCCAAGCTGAGAGTTCTCTGAAGAATCACAGGCACAATCGCATACTCGTTATAACATCCTCCTGCCATATGACATTTCAATGACAGCAGTCAGGGCTGGCTAGCACTCTGCGGAACCTTGTTTTCTAATTGAGATCCTTCACTCGTTGTAATTATTCCGCCATGTCCCCGCATTTGGCTCTTTCGCTTCGCGCGAATCTTGGCGTGTCATGCGGCGCTCCGTGCGTTCCCGCGCTCAAAAGCGTCATCGCTCGTGCCGGTGGCGCCTGCATTCGAACGGTTCCTCTATTGCCGCGTACTTATCCAAGTGCCGTTCGTAGCGATACGAACGGATTTAGGAGCAGATGTCGTCGTGCTGACGTCAGGTGCAGCGCAAGCCAATCGGATGCGTCGCTGCCAGCTCAAGCAAGCGCGGAAGGCGTGGCATTCAAGACTCTGCAGGTGGGTTTGAGTCGGAGAGACATGAGCGGATAAGGCGCGGAGCAGGCGCAGCGGAACAGGAGCAGGGGGAAAGACCCAGGAAACAGCGCCTTCTTTCCCTCGTCCCCATTCCGCGCAAAACTTATCCTTCTCCGCCTCCCCGCTCCCTGGTTTTGGAGAATTCTCGAAAAACCGTGCCCCCCTCCTCCAGTCGTCCTCCCCCTCCCCACTGACCTCCTGCCTCCCCTTTCTCATCCCCCTTCCGCGCCGCTCATCCCCCCTCCACGTGCTCCCTGCTCCCCCATTCCCCCTTCTCCCCCTCCCGTCTTCCTTAGCATCACGCCAATCTCCTGCCTTCTCTCATCCCCTCCCCTTCCCCCCCTTTCCCGCTCCCGCGCTCCCCCTTTTTCTTCCCCCCCTTTTCCCCCTTCCCTCAGTCGTCCTTCGCGTCTCTAGATGCGGACTTTTTCTCCGCGCTCCCTCGGGACCTCCAAGTGGATGTGAGTATAACGGGGGGACCTTTAAGTGGGTGTGAGTGAGTATAACGGGGGAACCCTTATGTGGGTGTGAGTATAACGGGGGGGACCTTTAAGTGGGCGTGAGTTAACGGGGGAACCATTAAAGTGGATGTGAGTAGCTGTGAGGAGACAGGGTTGAGAGGAAGGCGCGGAGGGGAGGCGCGGAGGGGAGGCGCGGAGGGGAGGCGGGGGGGGGAGGCGGGGGGGGAACAGGTTCGCGGGGGTGAGGGGAATGGGGGGAAAGGGAAGAGGGTGATGATTTGGGGGTTTCTGGGGAAAGAAGAAAGCAGATCAACACTGATCGGACCTGCCTTCATGCTTTGAGGGTGATTATTTGACTTGACTGTTGCGTTCAACAGTTGGTTTGTTGACACGTCATGAGTTTGCATCTCCCCCCTTACCCCCATCTTCCCCACCACGGCCCCATTCCCCTGCTGCTCCCGCGTCCCCCTGCTGCCCCCACCTCCATCAGCTCAAGGACGCCGCATTTGATCTCACCAACGGGAATGCTGTCTCAGATTTCTCCCCTCCCTCCTTCGGCCTCTCCCTCCCTCCCTCACCCCCCTCACCCCCCTTACCCCCTCCCTGCTGCCCTCCCCATCAGCTCCAGGACGCCGCGTTTGACCTCACCAACGGGAATGTCGCTGCAGAGGTGCGTGGGAGGGAGGCGGGAGGGGGGGGAACAAGGCCGCGGGAGGGGGGGAAACAAGGCCGCGGGGGGGGGGGGGAACAAGGCCGCAGGAGGGGGGGGAACAAGGCCGCGGGAGGGGGGGGAACAAGGCCGCGGGAGGGGGGGAACAAGGCCGCGGGGGGGGGGGGGAACAAGGCCATTGCTGCTGTCTCGACATGCTGCCATACCCTCTTGCTGTCAGAAGCTCTCTCTGCCCTCACAGCCGCGCTTACGGCGTCAGAGGGCGCTCCTGCTGCTGTCATGACGTGCCTTCCCATACCCTCTTGTCCTCTGGTCCCCCCTCCCTCTCTCCTCTCCTCCTATTGTTTCTCCCAGTGCGGCCCAGCAGTGTCATCAGCCCTCTCCGCCCTCACAGCCGCGCTTACGGCTTCTGAGGGCGCTCCTGCTGCTGCCAGACGTGTCTACCCATACCCACCCCGCCCCCTCCTCTGCTTCCCTCCCCCCCTGGTCCCCTGCTGCTATGGCGTTTCTTCCCCCTTCCCAGTGCTGACCAGCAGTGTCAGCATCTCTCTCCGCCCTCACAGCGGCCCTCACAGCCGCGCTTACGGTGTCAGAGGCTGCTCCTGCTGCTGCCTTGTCAAGCCTTCATACCCTCTTGCTGTCCCCAACCCAACCCCATCTCTTCCCCCCTTCCAGTGCGGCCCAGCAGTGTCAGCAGCCCTCACCGCCCTCACAGCGGCCCTCACGGCCTCAGAGGGCGCTCCTGCTGCTGCTGCTGCCGCTGTCGCTGGGCTGAAGGATGCTGCTGCGAAGCTTCCCCCTGGAGGGAGAGAACGGGCAGGTAAGAGGTGGAATGGAAGGAAGGCAGATCAGCTGTAAGGTTCAGATCAGAAAGGGGGATTGGGAAGGGAAGGAAAGGGGACGGGGGGAAAAGAAGGGTTGGGGGATATAATAAACAAGTTGCTCGTAAGAGAATCAACTCTTTTGTCCCAAATGCCGTTCTTCTGCTGCTCTCTTTTGAGTCGACTGAAAAGGGGGAGGAAAGAAGGGTGGTTGGATAAAAATTACAAGCCGCTCATAAGAAAATCACATCTCTTTTGCCCCAAGTGTTGTTCTTATACCACTCTCTCCCCGTTTCAGATGCCCCTCTATCTCTCAGACCGTTACTCCCTCGCTCTCCTCCTTCCCCTCTCTCCCATCTCCTCCCCTGCCAGTGCTGGGCAGGAGGCTGAGAGCAGCAGGCAGGCGATTCACAGGCATGGGGGCATACGCACAGGGCAAGGCCGCTCAGGTGAGGGGAGAGGAGAGGACAGCGAGAGGGACTAATGAGGGGAGAGAGAGGGAGAGAGGAGCGAAAAGAGACTTTTGAGTTAAGAGAGGACCTTTGAGCCAGTGAAGGGCAGGAGGCGGGCTGGCGGCTCACAGGGCCTGGGGGCATACACACAGGGGAAGGCTTTTCTGACGTGCATCCAGCAGGGGCGTGCATCCAGCAGGGGCGTGCATCCAGCAGGGGCGTGCATCCAGCAGGGGCGTGCATCCAGCAGGGGCGTGCATCCAGCAGGTGCGTGCATCCAGCAGGGGCGTGCATCCAGCAGGGGCGTGCATCCTGCAGGGGCGTGCATCCTGCAGGGGCGTGCATCCTGCAGGGGCGTGCATCCTGCAGGGGCGTGATAAGTGGTGCTCCTCGTATACAACCTTACACTGCCCAAGGAGCACCACATATCAATGACTCTAGAGTCGACCGAAAGGTCATTTCGATATGCGCAGGGTGCCTTTTGAGTCGACTCAAAAGTCACCTCTAGAATTGACTGAAAGGTCATCTGGATATGCGCAGGGTGCACTGACGACCTTTAGGCTGCGCATCAGCCTCCCCTCTATACCCCTCCACTCCCCTCCCCTCATGTCAGCGGGGTCCACTCTTAACCCTTCCACTCCCCCGCCCTCTTATCAGCTTGGCAAGGCCCTCACAGCGGCAGGGGAGGCTGTCTCTGTCGGGTGCACTGACGATGGCGCCTCCGATTTCAACCCTGTTAGAACCCTCACGGTGTGTTTTACAGTGGGTTTAGGGTGTGTTTGAGGTGCGTTCAAGGTGAGTCTAAGGTGCACATTTTGTGTTTCTGAGGCGCCTCAAGAACAAGCATTGTGTGTTTTTTAGGAGTACCATTTCAGCCCTGTTAGAACTCTCAAGGTGCGCATTGGGTGCTAAATGGTTTTACTCGTCACATCGTTAAAGGAGCTGCTGCTGCTGTTGCTGTTGCTGCTGCTCCGACCGCTGCATTGGTGCCTCTAGCGCTCTCTGTACTCTCCCTTCCCTCCTCTCTCCCTTCTGTTCCCCCCTCTCCTCCTCCTTGTCATCAGCTCGGTCCCATCACAATAAACGTCACACCATCCAAGGCACTCACAGGCGCTGCTGCTGCTGCCTTTGCTGCTGCTTTGGTGCTGCTCTGGTGCTGCTTTGGTGCCTCAAGCACCCTCTATGATCTCTCTCGTCTCCCCACCCTCCTTCTATCTCACCCGCTCATCAGCTCGGGCCCCTAACAGTGGACGTCACGTCCTCCAAAGCACTTACAGGCGCTGCCGTTGCTGTAGTGTTTGGGTGAGTCTCAAAGGCACTCACACGCACACACACGGACTCACACGCACTCACACACACACACACGGACTCACACGCACTCACACACACACACACACAGACTCACACGCACTCTATCACACACACACACACACACGGACTCACACGCACTCACACGCACACACATGGACTCACATGCACTCACGTGCACTCACACGCTCTCACACGCTAACACACGCACTCACACGCACTCACACGCACTCACACACACTCACACGCACTCACACGCACTCACACGCACTCACACGCACTCACACGCGCTCACACGCGCTCACACGCGCTCACACGCACTCACACTCACTCACAAACACTCACACTCACTCACACGCAGTCACGGGTGAGCCTCTTGCTATTTTCCTCGCACTCCGTTTCCCTTGCATTTCTACATCTCCCTGCCTTAAGCATTAATCACCCTGTTTTTCTCTCACACCATGTTCCCTCGTTTTTCCCCCCATTCTTCCTCCTCCTGTCCATCTTTCTTTCCTCCCTTTTTCTTCTTCTTATCCAGTGTTTATCCTCTTTTTATCCTCCTTTTTTCCTCATTTTATCCTCCCTTTTTCCTCTTTTTATCCTCCCTTTTCCTCATTGGTCCCACAATTTCACCTCTCTATCACCCCACAACCTGTGCCATCCCCATGTTCGCCTCCTCCCCATCCTCCCTCTTCCCCACACAGAGTGGTGAGCTGGGTGCTGGTATCAGGGCTGCAGGCAGTTGACGAGAGCTTTTTGGGCTATGCCAACAACAATGCAACGACTGTCGTCCACGTCAGTATGCCCCAAATCACGCCTCATCTCCGCCTACCCCCCATCTCCCCCTCTCTCCCCGCACAGGGTGGTGAGCTGGGCGCTGGTGTCAGGGCTACAAGCAGTTGATGAGAGCTCCCTGGCCTATGCCAATGACAACGCTCTCGCCCTCGCCCTCGTGAGTCTGGGATAATGATTCGTGTGTGCGCTGCGTGGGAGGTGCTGTATGATTCGCCCCATGGCTTCCCAATACCTTCCAAACACCCCTTCTCCCCTCCCCATGCTTGTCCCCACCAGTCTCGGAGAGTCATTTTCCTTGACCTGGCCTATACGGTAGCTTATGCCTCCTCTTTCTGCCTCAAACTCTCATTCATAACCTTCAGTCTCTGGGAGGGGCTCTCCTTGCCCTGGTGCGTTTTGAGTCGACTCAAAACACATTCTCCTTGACCTGGCCTGTCCGGTAGCTTATGCCTCCTCTCTGCCTTACACTCTTATTCATAACCTTCAGTCTCTGCGGGGAGGCTCTCCTTGCCCTGGGCTACAGCTGCTGCCCTTCCTCTGCGTTTATAATTCTCGTATAATATCTCGGTCTTCCCCCCCCACACACCTTATCCCACCAGTCTCTGCGGGGTGCTCTCCTCGCCCTGGGCTACAGCTGCTGCTTCCTCTCTGCATTTTCGGCTGCTGGCCTGCTTGCACTTGCGAGGGAGCTCAGCTCACAGGGAGGAGGGGAGGGCAAGTGAGCAAGGGAGAGAGTGAGTGAGTGAGTGAGTGTGTAGCTGAGGGACGCAGACAAGGTTCATTAATGATCTAAGGCTATTTTCCATCTTGCCACGTTTCTTGGACTTTTAGCCTGAAAGTTATTTCCCATGTTCCGCTGGTGCATTGCTAGTGTGTTGAGGCCCCGTATATGCAGCTTATGGGGCCTAAAATTTGTCACTCAAGCAGTAGTCTTGGGGGAGAGGGGGGTGTGTATGTGTAAGCCCAAGGCTTGCCATGAGTGAATAACATGCAGCAGCAGTGGTTATTGCCTTCAAACCTTACATTACATGCTTGGATTTTGATTGGCCACTACCTTACAAAAGATTCGGTGGTGAGGGATTGTCGCACGTTATTGTAGTACAGCAATAATTTTCCTGAAATATAATTTGTTAAGAAAGTTCTACACCAGAGAGAGGCCATTCCTAGGAATAACCCGTTTCGACCAGAACTTGTTGGTATCTTGAATCACCCGTTAGTACAGTAACACATTACTAGTAACATTGTTTCTTACAAGCATACTGTACTCTACACCAGCGAGAGGCCATTCCTGGGGGTAACCCGCTTCACAAGCTTCGACCAAAACTCATTCGTCTCTTCAATCACGCGCAGCGCCGTCGCCTTGTCAGCCGGCTTGTTGCCGAGGCCAAACTTGTTGGGTGGCTTGCCGTCCGGCAGCTTGTAGTCTCTGAACCAATCCCGCACCGCCGTCAGCGTGCCCTGGGAAGAGATGGGGTGCGGTGTGCGTGTGTGTGAAGGAAGGAGGGAGGGGAGTGATTGAAGCAGCTTTTAGTCTCCGAACCAATCCCGCACCGCCGTCAGCGTGCCCTGGTGGTTGGGGAAAGAAAGAAGGATGGGGTTGGAATGTGAGGGGAGAGTTGGGAGAGATGGGAATGAGTAAGGCAGCTTGTAGTCTCTGAACCAGTCCCGCACCGCCGTCAGCGTGCCCTGGTGGTGGGAGATGGACGGATGGGGGGGGGGGTGATGTGCGTGTGAGGGGAGAGGGGAGTGAGTCTGGCAGCTTGTAGTCTCTGAACCAATCGCGCACCGCCGTCAGCGTGCCCTGGATTGTGAAATGTGAGGGGTGGGGGAGGGGATGATGGGGGAGAAGGGGGCGGGGATGGGGGGAAGGGGGCAGCGTCATGGAAGGCAAAAAAGCGGAGGTGATGAGACAAGGTACAAGCAGAGGCCCAGAGATTGCATAGGCAGACATGCAGAGGGGCACTCACAGAGAGAGGGACACTAACGCCAGGCGCACTCAGAGAGGCGCTCACAGGGAACTCCTTCTCCACGTCCTCCACGTCATTCACGAGGTGCGCCTTGGGGTCATCAGAACGGATACAAATGACCTTCCAGTCAAGCCACAGGCACGGCACTCATGGCTTTAAGGGAAAGGAGCAGGCACAGAGGCAGCAAAGAGAATGGACTATGGGCAGGCACTCACAGGGTATTCCTTCTCCACGTCCTCCACGTCATTCACGAGGTGTGCCTTGGGATGGGATCATCAGCACGGGAGCAGATGACCTTCCAGTCGAGCCACAGGCACGGCACTAGTAGCACTAAGACAGAGGAGCAGTCACAGAGAAAGCACTGGCAGGGCCACTCTACTCACAGGGAATTCCTTCTCAACATCCTCCACGTCATTCATGAGGTGTGCCTTGGGATCATCAGCACGAATGCAGATGACCTTCCAGTCGAGCCAAATGAACGGCACTTTTATGGCTCTAAGGCAGACGGACAGACACAACAGGGAGACAGCAGTGGGGGTGACACCAATGCCGGGCGCTCACAGGGAACTCCTTCTCCACGTCCTCTACATCGTTCACAAGGTGCGCCTTGGGATCATCAGCGCGAATGCAGATGACCTTCCAGTCGAGCTCGCCGTCATCGATCATGGCCAGCACAGCCAGCGGCTTCACTGCATACACCTCGCCCAGCGCTGCCTGCTTCTCGCCGATCTCGACTACGTCCACTGATAGGAGGATGGGCACATAGACCAGAGGGGAAGGGGGGTTTGACTTGAGTCGCCGATCATTGCCAGCACTGCCAGTGGCTTCACTGCATACACCTCCCCAAGTGTTGCCTGCTTCTCCCCTATTTCCACCACATCAAATGGTTTAAACGCTTGAACACCCCACACCAGGCAGTCAGGCGGGCGGGCGTGTGGGCGGGCGAACAGGCAGGGAGACGGAAAGATGGAAGGGCGGGAGAGGGAGGAAGGAGGCGGATTCGGCACAGAGACAGTGGCTTCACTGCGTGCCGTGCAAGGGCCACAAAAAAGTGCCCATGGTGTTGCCACTTTCACTGCCGACATCCTTGAGATTGGTGGGGCAAGATTTGCTAGGTAAGGTAGTACAGTACACATGCATGTATATATATCTATTATGTTCACAAATGTATATGTATATATCTTCGTATGTAAATATATATAATCATAGACTGACCAGGGTCATTGTCGCCCATGGTGTTTTCGACCTCGGGATTGGCGTGTGAGGGGTCCTCCCACGTCTGAGGCAGCATGCCATAGTTCCAGTGGATGTTGTACCTGCGAGGGGGAGGGGAAATAGAAAGATTGTTGGCAATATTCATGAGTCTGAGTGAGTCGACTCAAAGCACACATGCCAACAAATGTGGCAGCATGCCGTAGTTCCAGTGGGTGTTGTACCTGCAATCGAAGAAGGGAAAGAAAAGGATAACTTATTCAGGTAAACTCTTGATGACTTGCTTGATGCACGTGCCGGGCTCATCTGTGGAAACTTAGAAAAAGAAAGATACTAAAACCGAGATGCCCCTATAAACTCACGGGTAGTATCGGATTTTCCCCTTCTTGACGTCCTGCTTGATGGGCGTGCCAGGCTCGTCAGTAGCAACCTCCATCTTGGCGCTCGTGTCCTTGGGGATCTCGCATATGAAGTTGAACAGCCCGTCACCGGCGCGGAGAGGGATATCGTGCCAAGGGGAGAGCTGCAGGGAGGTTGGGAGTGGAATGGGTGGGAAAACGGCATTGACCGTTTGAGAGGCCCTCATCCGTGGCGACCTCCATCTTGGCGCTGGTGTCCTTGGGGATCTCGCATATGAAGTTGAACAGCCCGTCACCGGCGCGCAGGGGGATGTCATGCCACGGAGAGAGCTGCAAGGATGGGGAAGGGTGAAGAGGGGATGGGGAAAGGGGGCGCTCGTGTCCTTGGGGATCTCGCATATGAAGTTGAACAGCCCGTCACCGGCGCGCAGGGGGATGTCATGCCACGGAGAGAGCTGCAAGGATGGGGAAGGGTGAAGAGGGGATGGGGAAAGGGGGCGCTCGTGTCCTTGGGGATCTCGCATATGAAGTTGAAGAGGCCATCACCGGCTCGCAGGGGGATGTCGTGCCACGGGGAGAGCTGAGAGGGAAGGGGTGAAGGGGAGGGGGGATTGTGGATGGGCGTGGCGACCTCCATCTTGGCGCTCGTGTCCTTTTGCAGATGAGTTTGAACAGCTCGTCACTGGCACGGAGAGGAATGACGTGCCACGGGGACAGCTGTGAGGAGGAAGGTGGGTGGGGGAAAGTACTACGAGCCTGCTTCAGGTTCAAGGTGTGCGCAATGACTGAAGTGGAAGGTGACTATGATATGTACTCACTGTGCCGCCCGCCCTGATGGTTGGGTAAGCGGAAGGGGTACTTACTCAAGCCCATGCGTTTGGTAAACCTCCACCTTGAGCACCCCATCAGGTCAGTCCGTACTCGATATAGTGCGTCATGTTTGCTAGTCGCGGTACTCAATGCGTCTCAAACTCGACAAAGATCATACTCGATACAGATAGCACTCGATACAGTGCGTTGTGATTCCCGTTATGATACTCACGGTTTCGCCCTGGTCGTTCTGGAAGAAGAGGCGGTACTCGAGCGTCTCGAACTCGATAGAGTGCGTACTCGTTACAGAGCGTACTCGTTACAATGCATCATGATTGTCAATACTGTACGTTTGAGTAAACTCACGGTTTCGCCCTGGTCGTTCTGGAAGAAGAGGCGGTACTCGAGCGTCTCGAACTCAATAGAGTGCGTCCTCGTTACAGAGCGTACTCGGCACAGTGCATCGTGATTGCTAATACTGTGCGTTTGAGTATACTCACGGTTTCGCCCTGGTCGTTTTGGAAGAAGAGGCGGTACTCGAGCGTCTCGAACTCAATAGAGTGCGTACTCGTTACAGGGCGTACTCGTTACAGTGCGTTATGATACTCACGGTTTCGCCCTGGTCGTTTTGGAAGAAGAGGCGGTACTCGAGCGTCTCAAACTCGCCAGACGGCGACCGGCTGAGCGATCGGGTGAGCTCCGCGCACACCACGGGACTGCGGTGGAACGACCTGCGCGGAGGGGGGGGAAAGTGGGGAGCGGGATGGGGAGGACGAGGGGATGGTGGGGGGGGGAAGAGGGAAGGGGTGAATTCCGAGTCGACTCAGACCACAGCGGCCGAGCTCCGCGCACACCACTGGGCTGCGGTGGAACGACCTGCGCAGTGCGGATGAAAGGAGGGTTCGAGAGAGAGGGTGGGTGGGGTTGCACTGCACAAGATGAAATGAGAATCTATTCCCTAGGGAGTTCGAATTGTCGAACGGCTCATGCCATGGCGGCTCAACGCGCGCCACGTGGCAGCGAAGGAGATCGCGTCGCGAAACCCGCGTGCGTTGGGGACGACGCGTCTCTTGTTGGGATCGGAACGCGGCGCGGCGCACATTAGGCATTGCGCGGCATTGCGCGGAGGGAGCAGAAAGGAAGCTTTGAGGCATTTCAGATTTCTGAAATCACTGCATGAGTTCAGACGTTCAATCGAGATTCCTTGAAGGTTCCTTATTGGAATCATGTATCAAGGCTAAATCTTGTGTAACAGCAGTTCCTGGTAAGACATGCGGCATTATGAGCAACCTTTAGTATCTGGTGAGGTGAGGGATGCTCGTAACGGCAGTACCTGGTGAGACATTCATTATGAGCAACCTTTCGTACCTGGTGAGACATTCATTATGAGCAACCTTTAGTACCTGGTGAGGGACCAGGTGGGTCGTTGCACCATCTGATGGCCGCTGAAACCCGCCGCCTTTAGCGGCGCAATGGCCGCCGTCTGCAGGGACCCCAGCGCAGGAGTCGGCGCCCTGAGCGCCGACATGGCGACCCGCGAGGCGACGCGCGTGCAAGTCACGAGGGAGAGAGCCGCCATTCTGGACACTGCTATTGGGAGCGACGACAAGATTAGGACCGGGCGAGCGACGCGATTACGGCACGAAGACCGAGGGGATCAGGACAGAAAGTCCGACGCGACGGACGACCTTTTTCGAAAGAGCTGCTCAATTCTTGGGATTGGGGCAAAGGAGGATCGCGATTCGCAACTGACCTGGAGGCGGTGTTATTTGAAGGGTAACGTGAGGAAGGCGGGGAGGTAAGGTACACCTGAGGAGATGGCGACTGTCCCGCGACCAGATTCAACGTAAACTCCCAGGGCTGCCTTGATCCACAGCAGGATTATGAATGTATTCAAATATGTTGCTGTGCTTGGTGTGTGTGTTGACTCGCTGCAATTCTCGTGCTACACCCGACGCTAGCCGCTGTATGGATGGCTGGAAGCCGTCAGAATTCAAATCCACCCTGGGAAGTGTTTGGTGCGACGAGTGTGTGTGACGCTAACGAATATGCTAGATTCTTCACGTGGCAGTTTCTGGGAGGTCGACGGCATTCAAGGGCTAAAATGGTGACGGATCCAGGTCACGCTGCCAGGTGGAGCTCCTTTTGATTGACAAACCTGCCACGCTGGTATGGGGAAGGTGTTTATGGCTGGAAAATGTGACAATCTCGTACCCGATTGTGGAGTCTCCGTAACGGAAACTTCACTTATCTTGCACCTTTCGTTTCTTCAGGAATTATTAGTTCAGGAAATGAAACTGGGCTCAAACATGCTTCAGGCCTTCGGAAGGGATCACCTGACACGGCTTGGCTGGTGGAGTATGGCAGCCACTCGCCAGCGAAACACAACCTGAGACCCCCTGTCGCCAGCAATTTTCTCCCCCCTGTGTTACACCACTCCATGCATCCTTCGGATTCGCCAGCCTGGAACATTTCGTCAAGTCCAATAAACCACCAGAATGCGGTTCGCGCTGCACCAATGGAAAGATCCACGTTGCAGTTACCCCACACAATGCTCGTCGCCAACGGGCCTCGCAGCAGTCGCATATCCTCCACCCCTCGAATCGCCTCCGTAAATGCTGGTCTCTTACAACTATCAATCACCTACCTCACAGGCTGTCACGAACGACGAGTCTAGTTTTGCCCGAGTGACCTCCTCACTCCTAGTTTTCTTCGTGCACGTAATCCACGTCATCCCATGCTCATAGGCAAGTGTCGTTTGCACGCGATCCACTCGTCGAACCTAAGACAAGAGGCTTGTTAATCGTGCAGTTTACTGGTTCCTGCATTCTCGCGTTGGTGTAGTCTTCAACCCCACCACCGACAACTCACATCGAAGGCTTTACCTAGACATCGGGTACCCTTGTGAGCGATTACTTACATCGGGTAGTACCAGATGCATCACTTTCACGCCTAATAAACTTCCTCAGAAAACTAATCTCAGTCCAGGGGTCTGCATCTCTACTCGTCCTCCCTAATGCCCACAACCGTGCGCGACACTCGAGCCGACTTTTGAGTCGACTCAAAAGTAGCGCAGCCGTGCGCGACACTCGAGCCTTTGCCCACTAGTAATAACGTGCCCGACCATAACCTTAAGAATGAATCTCATGAGCTTCGATCTATCGCGATACCTCCTCACATCCCTCGTTCTTATCTCTTTGCTATCTCACTCGCACCTAGCAGTCTGCAGCACGCATGACAATGGCGCCGATGACGACTCGCCTCGGACCGCGTCACAACCACTGGCACAGACCCTCCACCCGGACAGCCTCGTACTGCCACGTCGGAGACTCCAAGCTGGCGCTGCCGGCCGACGTGGCAAGATCCAGTTGGAGCGGCCAGTAGCGGCGGCGGAGCCGCAACACCAGGCCGTGATTGACGGCGGCGTGAGACCCGTCGCCGTGACGGCATCCAAGCCGCCGGTAGCAAGCCTACAGGTCACCACTCAAGGCCGTCGGGCAGCAGCGGACAACGCGGCGGGAAATGCGGGGAGTAGAGAGAAGACGCAAGGTGGAGGCACGCTTAAGGAAGGCATTTTAGGAAAGTCTTTAACTCAAGTCGGCCTGATCGACTATTTCTCGAAGAGAATAGGGCTCGCAGCTCCAGTGGGCCAATCAAAATCCAAGCCGCGTCTGCCTCTCTGCCCGGAATTTGCGCCGCCTCTCTCGGGCGCGTCTTCCGCCGTCGTGTCCGCTTGTCAATGGGGCGACCCGCTCCCACCCTCGTACTCAGCCACGGCCGCTGGTCTGGGATCTTCAGGCTCGGACTTAGGTCCGGCAGAGCTCGGTGGCCCGGGAAAAGCGGCGCAATTTATGGAAGACTGGTTGCGGTGGAAGCAGGAGGGAGGAGAGGCGGCGGAGAGGGAGTGTATGCGGCAGCGCGCGTGGTTCTACGCGGGAATTGCGGAGGAGACGTGCGACTTGAGCGCGCTCCGCGCTGCTCAGGCCGCTTCCCCGCGGATCGCGGCGGGAGGTGTGGCCGCTGCTGACGTGGACGGCAGCGGAGGTGGCATACTCGTGCTGCGTGACGTGTACGTCAACGCACAGGGGCTGGTGTTCAACAAAAGCCACGTGTTCGTCGTTGATAGGTGCGGATCCGGCCAATGGAAGCAGCAGCAGCAGCCGCAGAAGCAGCAGCAGCAGCAGGTGAAAGTTCCCTCCTACCCACCTGGAACCAGGGTCACTGTTCACCCCCACCTGATAAATCTCCTGCCGTACGAAGGCCACGAAGAGGAAGAAGAGGACGAGCAAGGAACCTCTGGGGGCGGCAAATCTGGGTCAAACGGCGGGGGCAATCCCGAGGGGAGGGAGTGGGTGGCGCAGGCAAAGCTGCACAACAGCAAGGAGCGGCTGGTAGCGCGGCTGCTGCCCGTGCTCTTCCTGCTCTCCTCCGCCCTCATGCCCGCCGCGCGCCGCTTCCCTCTGCTGCTCGCCGACCGCCACGTGCTCTTCCACCTGGGACTGGGGGTGTTCAGCACCGACCTCTCCTCCCTCGCCATCTCGCCCGAGTCTGCCCTGCTCGGGGACAGCCGCGATCATTTGTTCTTCGCCAAGCAACTCTATATGGTAAGTTCTGTTCTCTTAGTCTGCTGCTCCGTTAGTCTGCTGTTGTTCCACCTGGGCCTGGGGGTGTTCGGTACCGACCTCTCGTCCCTCGCCATCTCGCCCGAGTCTTCCCTGCTGGGCGACAGCCGCGAGCATCTCTTCTTTGCGAAACAGCTCTATGTGGTGAGTGCTCTTCCGCTGCTCTGCTGCTCTGCTTATCGTCCACCTGAGCTTATCTCCAGCACCCCTTCTCTCACCTCGTCCACCTCCTGTCTAAATCCCTCTGTATCCCCTCCTCCCTTATTCCTTCTCACTCACTCCCATCCCCTCCCCACCCCTTTCGAACACCCTTTCTCTCCCCCCCACCAGCCCATCCACGTCAACAGTCACTGCGGCCTCTCTCTCTCTCTGCTCTCCCCGCTTTCTCTGTAGCCTCTTTCACCTAAATTTGTATCTCCTCCCCACCCCTTCCCAACACCCTTTCCGTCCCCCACCACCAGCCCATCCACGTCAGCAGTCTCTGCGGCCTCTCTGCTGCCGGCCGCCCGTCCCGCCCCGACGCGCTCTGGCTTGCGCTGCGGGCCAACCACCTGTTGCCACGTGGCGGCCTGCCCATCCTCAACCCCGATTGGACCCCCAACCCGCCCGCCCCTTATATTCACAACGTAGTCTTAGGAGGGCGATCCGTGCCTAAGGACTGGGTGGTGGTGGTCTCCTTAGTGTGGAGCTCACACGTTATGAGAGAAGGAGGAGGGGTGGGGGGAGGGGTGGGGAGTGACGGAGAGGGAGAAGAAGGAGCAGAGGCAGAAGTGGAGGGAGGACAGGGAGCAGGAAAGGGGAGCAAGGGAGCGGAAGGAGCAGCAGCAGCGACAGCAGAGGGCATGCAATCAATAATCAAGTTCCTGCAGCACATCTTCTCGAAATCCCGCGTTGTTGTGTACGATGAGCATGTTCCTCTCACAGAGGCCCGTGCGCTCTTCTCCCGCGCGCTGCTGCTTGTGGGCCCCACCTCCCCTGCACTCTCGAATCTTATCTTCCTGCCTTTCAATGCAACGGTGATTGAGATTCTCCCGTACCCTGCCCCACAGACCACCACAGCCACTTATCCTTTCCTCCCCACCACCAACATCTCCTCCTCTTCCTCCTCCTCCTCTTCCTACATCATCATCCGTGCCCTTCGGTATTCAAGCGTCGGTCGTCAGCCAACAGGACTCTGCCACGTGGCACTACCGCCTGGCGGAGCGGGCGGGCGTGCGGCACTTTTTGTCCGCTTGTGACCCGGGCCGGATCAAGCGCGAGCTGGGGGAGCAGTGCCACGTCAGCGAGGTGTACAGCATCGTCATGACAGCTGTGCGCAGCGGATGGCTCGGATGGAACGATCTCGCCAACGTGCCACATCACCCCGCCTTCCCACCAGCCAACCCTCCTGCTGCTGCTGCTGCTGCTGCTACCACCACTGCTGCTGCTGCAGCCGCTGCTGCTGCTTCTCCCACCACCACCCAACCAGCACCACCCATGCTCCCAGATTTCCAAGACACCATCCCAGGGTCAAGACTCCAACCACACACAGGCGCCGTCTCGTCAATCCGGCAGTGGCTATCCTGTGTGGCAACACGTGGCGAGTGGCGCTACAACCCCACCCCCCGCGTGCTGCCCTGGAACTGGAAATCCGTTGACCACTGCGACCTGAGGCACGTTGACCAGGTCAAAGGGGGGGTTGCCTTTGCAGAAGCGGACGAAATAGCGCGGCAGGGAGGGCCAGACGCAGTGAAGAAGTGGAGGGTGAGGGAGGAGTTGAAGTATGAGTGGGTGGTGCCAAAGGAGCGTTGCCCTGCTGTTGCTGCTGGGGCGTTTGGGTCGCTGTTTGGGCCAGAGAGTGAGAGAGAGGAGGCCGGTGGAGGCGGGGCTGGTAGTACGGATTATTATGAGACTGCTGCTGGTGATTCTGCTGATGACTCTGCTGCTGGTGGTGCTGCTGCTGCTGCTGCTGCCGCTGCTGGTGCTGATGAGGGGTTGTTTTCCCGCTTTGACGGCCGATCACTTTGCCAGCTGGCCCGCTTGCGGGACGACGGCCTTCGAATTGCCTTCTTAGGGGACTCCCTCTCCAAGGAGGCGCACACCTCTTTCCTAAACAACATGCTTAAGCACGTGCCGAAACCGGCGCTAAAAGCCGTCACATTTCGGAAATGCATGCCATGGCTCGGGACTCACACCGGGTACTGTCACGAGCGGTTCACCGGGCTCGGGTGCTCCGGGCTGGAGCTACACCTCGTATTCAATAAAAGGCTCATGCCGGTGGATTCGGAGAAGGACGAGCGGCTGTGGTGGAAAAATATGCCTTGGCTAGATGACCCCGGGATTGCGAATTCCCATGTGCTGGTGATTAACAGGGGAGCTCATGTTACGACTGATGAGCATCTGGTAACCGCCGTGCGGCGCACGTTACAGTTCGTCCGGCAGAATTACCCGGAGAAACTGGTGGTATTCCGGTCAACCGCCCCAGGACACATGGGCTGCACGAATGCTACAGGACCCATCAAGCAGCGGCAGGACCCGAAAACGCTCCCATTTGGGTGGGGGAATTTCAAGCGTCAGAATGAGCTGCTGAGAGGGGTGGTGGAGGAGATGGGAGCTGTGTTTATGGATATTGAGCCTATGACTGCGCTCAGGCCGGATGGGCACAGGGGAAGGATCACGGAGCAGAAAACAGACTGTCTGCACTACTGCTCACCAGGCCCTGAGGACGCCTGGAGCGAGTACCTGTATAACATCATTCAGAGAATAGTGCCCGAGTACTAGGCAAGAACGGAAGGATATAGGGCCATCCTCAGCTTTATGTGCTTGCAACTTTGTAAAGCTGCATACTCATGGATATGTGCCAACCACTGTATGTTTGGAGCTAGAAGCTCACCAAGGTATCTCAATGTCACCAAGGTATCTCAATGTCACCAAGGTATCTCAATGTCACCAAGGTATCTCAATGTCACCAAGGTATCTCAATGTCACCAAGGTATCTCAATGTCACCAACCACCAAGGTACCTCAATGTCTCAGATCCTCAGCATATCACCATCTGGTACGGGGGTAGAACCGTAACTGGGCACACCATCGCTCATAGGTTAGCGTTTTCGAAATCAGTCCCGAAGTGAACTAGAGTTGGTGTATTTTTCTTTTTCTACCAAAAAGGTCAGCACTTCCCATTTTTTGTGGATTGGTTTAAAACCGGAGTCTCAAGTATCCCAAAGTTGCCTCATCCTTCCTACCTTTGGTTGGGTTACAAAGTCCAACCAAGCTTCCTACCTTTGGTTTTGTCACTAACTCCAACCAACCTTCCTACTTGTGAAACCTGTGGACCCTGGGTTTTAAACAGGCGAACCCACAGGCCGGCGCACGTATCTACACGTAGAAGCAGAAGCCTTTCCGGCAAGAGTTTAACTCTTCGGACCTCGCAAGGATTCCTTAAGACTTCTTGCAGCTGCATCCCGCACCGCAGCCGCAGCCATCGCCGCATGTGCAGGCGCCGCCAGATGCGCAAGCGCGGGTCTTGCAGGAGCACCCTTCTCCGCAGGAGCACGAGTCGCACGCGCAAGTCTCGCCGCATGCGCAGGAAGCACCGCCCTGTAAGAAGGATGACGACAACGAATATTAATTACGATGTAGCATGGCAGCTTCCCACGTGGTACCAAAAAGCGGCATGGCGAGATATGGACCAGGGTGTGGAAGGCGTAAGTGCACACTAAACCGCGAGGGTGTGGAAAGTATTACTTTCCAGAAGACGGAAAGGGTGCAGCTGGTTGGCCTACCTTGCAGGAGCAGCTAGGCCCGGCCTTGCATCCAGCTCCGCATCCGCACGAGGCACCGCCAGTAGCGCAGGAGCATCCAGTGCCGCAGGTGCACTCCTTATCGGCCATGGCTAGAGTACGTGGAGGCGAGAAAAGAAAAGAGAAAGGCTGTGACTGGAGAAGTTTGGCAGATGTGCGAGGTCGAGAAGCTAGGACAAAAATGCAGACTGGTTTATGTCAATTCGGACGTTGGTACTTATAGGCCCCAGGGAATCTCCAATCTGTGCCGCCAAAAATGTGATGGAAAACCAACCCCGATGTGGGGTCTGCTAGAGAAATTTGAACGAAGAGGAGGAGGTTTCAGTGCGACGCTGGCGTCGCTCATCGAAGAGGAGCTGAGAATGCGTTTCGTGACATGGATTGAACCAATCGACATGCATCGCTGGCACGGGTAAAGCGTGGTTTGGTGTCCAGCAACGGCCATGTAATCGAAAGTGATGTAGGTTGCACCAATAGCTTACGTGAAGACACGGACACGATCGCAGATTCCACGCAAGACAGCCCGTTGAAGCTGCGCGCCGACATGACAGAATATAACCGCAACGCAAGCTCTTGTGTTCCCGCCTTGCGCGAGAATGGCAACAGGGTGAGATCGGTTCCATCCGGTGCGAACGTTTCCATTGTGGTTTTCACTGTTATGAACTACAATTACAGGGTTCTCAACATTGTGAAATACAGGGTGAAGAGGCAAGTTTCAGGCACATGGTCCTAGATAAAGAAGGGTTAACATAATTCAAACAACAAAATCCGACCAAGAGATGCAGCAACTACCATAGCAGCAAGTATTTTAAGAAATGCCAGCAGGGGCTTCAATGGCAGTGGAAGTGGCAGTGCCCGTGTTGCCATTGAGCACCGTCACATTGCCATCAGCATCGACATCAATGATGGCGCTGTCACCCTCCTTGATCTCTCCAGAGAGCATGCGCTCCGCCATGCTGCGAGTTACAATAACAAGAGAGAATACCATAAGTATTGCTGCATCAGCAGGAGTGACTAGTAGGCTTTGAATATACAGGGCAGAACTGCTGTATGCTTTGTCAGCACATCATCTGCCCTCAGCATCCTTGCATCACTAGACTGTCAACTGAGGCAGTCTCAAAATTGCCACCTGACCTCAGACAAACACACTCCTCTCACACATGTCATCAACCACCCACACATCTCATCCTCCAGCAGCCTCACCTGTCCTCCAGCAGCCTCACCTGTCCTCCAGCAGCCTCACCTGTCCTCCAGCAGCCTCACCTGTCCTCCAGCAGCCTCACCTGTCCTCCAGAAGCCTCATGATGGCTCGTCGCAGTGGCCTGGCACCGTAGCTGGGGCTGTAGCCCTCATCCACCACCCGGTCCCTGAAGCGCTCCGTCACCTGCTCGCAGGGAGGTGAGCACACAGGCGTACAGGAAAGGATGGGGAAAAACAGGCGCATGATGCCAATGATCTCATTCATCTCCCTTACGCGCCCTATCGTGTTCACTCCCAACAACCACCTACAAACATGCCCCACGCATACAACCCACCATCCACACACACACTGCCCCTCCCTAAATCCACCCACACAACCCTCACTCCCCTTCCCACAGTCACACCCACCGGCAGGTCAATGTTCTTGGTAAGGCGGCGGTCGAAGACCTCCTTGAGCATGATATTGCCCATCTCCTTCACCTCCCTTCCATTACACACACCCCTCTCCCTATAGAGCCACCCATCCACACAAACCCCTCCCTACTGCGCCACCCAACCCCACACATACCTGCAGGTCAATGTCCTTCTTAGTGAGGCGGTCAAACACCTCCTTGAGCATGATGTCGCTGATCTCCTTGACCTCCCTTGCACTCACGCCCTTCCATCGCCCACCTCCTTACAACCACCTCCCTCCGTATGAAACACCCACCTGCAGGTCGATGTCCTTCTTAGTGAGGCGATCAAACACCTCCTTGAGCATGATGTCGCTGATCTCCTTGACCTCCTGCTTGGTGAGCTGGCGGAACACGATGATCTCGTCCAGCCGGTTCAGGAACTCGGGGCGGAAGTACTGCTTCAGCTCCTCGTTCACCAGCGACTTGATGCGGTTGTAGCTCGTGTCCTTCTCGCCGTAGTCCAGCTGGGAAGAGGGAGTCAAACGTTTAACAGGACAGAGGGATCGTAAGAAGTACGAAATTTTGTCATCAAAGAAAAATTAACGAGGAAAGAAAATTAGGCAGGGACTGGGGAACAGGCTGGGGAGAAGGAAGGGTTGGTTGTGTAAACGTGGACAAAGGGAAGAAGTGCTTTATTTTAAAACTAACTCCATGGCAGCACCCACCTGGAAGCCGATGCCTCCACCGCCCTTCTCAATGACGGAGGAGCCGACGTTGGAGGTCATGATGAGCAGCGTGTTCTTGAAATCCACCGTGCGCCCCTTGCTGTCCGTCAACCGCCCGTCCTCCAGAATCTGGTGTGTGGGGATTCAATGCACAGGGGGGAAGGAGGCGGTATTTGACTTGACTCAAATATCACCAAGCAGCCGCGTTGGAGGTCATGATGAGCAGCGTGTTCTTGAAGTCCACCGTGCGCCCCTTGCTGTCCGTCAACCGCCCGTCCTCCCGAATCTGGTGTGTGGGAGAGAGAGGAGGGCGTGAAGAGCAGGGGAGAGGGGGGCAGGGGGGGGTAGTATGTGAGGGGGCAAGAGCGGATGTTGTTACGAATCTGGTGAAGACAATGATATTCATTTTCCTTTTCATCTCTTAATCTCACAAAACAGCATCGAAGCGTTGTTTTCTTTTCAAACCTCACCATCAGAGTAACACCATACCTAAAGCATCATGTTGAGCACATCGGGGTGGGCCTTCTCAATCTCGTCAAACAGCACCACGGTGTACGGCCGCCGCCTCACAGCCTCCATCATCTACCCGCCCTCCCAAAACCCTAAACCTGCAACCCACCCAGAGCAGTATGGTTCCACCACCGCACCTGGAGCATCATGTTGAAGACATCGGGGTGGGCCTTCTCAATATCGTCAAACAGCACCACGGTGTACGGCCGCCGCCTCACAGCCTCCGTCAGCTGCCCGCCCTCGCTGTACCTACCCCCTCATGCACCCTCTAGTCTTACCACTAACAAAACCCTAAACCACGTACCTGAAGCATCATGTTGAAGACATCGGGGTGGGCCTTCTCAATCTCGTCGAACAGCACCACGGTGTACGGTCGCCGCCTCACAGCCTCCGTCAGCTGCCCGCCCTCGCTGTACCCCACGTAGCCGGGGGGTGAGCCAATGAGCTTGGAGACCGTGTGGCGCTCCATGAACTCCGACATGTCCAGCCTCACCATGGCCTGGTGTGGGGGGGGGGGGGGGGGGGGCAGGGTGGAGGGGCGGGGTAGGCAAGGGGCAGGGAATATGGGGAAGAGGGACGGTAAGTGTTAAAGAGTGACCCGATGAGCTTGGAGACTGTGTGGCGTTCCATGGCCTGGAGAGGAATAAAGAGAGAAGGTGGGAGCAGGGGAGGGGAAGGGGAAGAGGTGGGGTTGGTTGGGTAGAGGAAGGGAGTTGGGGACAGAGTATGTGTGAATTGGTTGGGGGCTCTTCACCGCCAGCTTCATCTTCTCTGCTCCCGACACCCGTGGGAGCAGAGAAGATGAAGCTGACAATGAAGAGCCCCACACGAATTCCTCGCCTCCTCACCCCTTCCAAGGGCCCTTCACCTCCTCACAGCTCCCCACATAGCCTCACTCCTTCCTTCCAACACACTCATCACCTCATAAGTGCCTCACCTCCTCGGGGCCGAAGTAGTAGGAGGAGAGAGACTTGGCAAGATCGGACTACCTTTGAGTCGCCTCACAAACCAAGAACCACTCGTCTTCTCATCTCACACCTCTCCACACCTCTTCACTCCTTCCAAGAGCGCCTCACCTCCTCGGAGCCGAAGTAGTAAGAGGCGAGGGACTTGGCGAGCTCGGACTTGCCAACACCCGTGGGGCCGGAG